AAGGCGTGACCTGAGTGTGGGGGTTGGTGGCTGGGTGGCGGGCACGGGCATGCCCTGCCTGCGGTGGCAGGGCGCTGGCTCCTGCGCCCGGGCCTGGGCGGTGTCCGGACTGGGCATGGGCTGGCTGGTCGTGTGGCAGCCCCGTGGACGGCGAACACCCGCATCTCGTAGAGGACACCCTCGATCATCTTGGTGGACTCGTACGTCGTCTCCGTAAAGACCTCAAAGTTCAGCTTCATCCAGCGCTGAGAGCCCTTCTTCTTGCGCTCCAGGAGGTACCCTGGAGGCCCCCGGCAGGCAGGAGCAGAGGTCACGGGAGGGCATGGGGACACAGGTCGGCCGGGGCAGTGAGGGTCGCACCCGAAGGATCATGTGACCCCGAGAGGTCTCGGGCCGTGAATCTCGGGTTGAGCCCAGGGGCCACAGAGCACTCAGAGGCTATCGGTCCTGGGGTCAGGAATCGAGAGGGGTCACAGGTCGCGGGTCAAGGGCCACAGAAGTCCCCGGGCTAGTGGCTGAAGTGGGAATGCCCAGACTGTTGGGGAGCAGAGGAGGACTGGGCAAGACCAAAGGGACGGTGAGGCGTCAGGAGCACGGGTGTCACGGGGTCACTGAGGTGCTAACGGCTCTGGGAGGTCGAGGAGAAGTCAGAGGGCGGGGAGGGTTGGAGGCCATGAGGACGGAGGGCCACAGGCGCTCACCGGTGACCGGCTGCCCGCCGTCGTACTTGGGCGGCTCCCAGACAAGGATGGCCCAGTCCTCTCCCACGGAGGTGACGCGCACGGCCTCCGGGGGGTCCGGGACGTCTGCGGGCACAGGCACAGGGAGTCAGCCGGGCCTGGCGGCCTCGGCCCCCGCCCCGCCCCGCCACCCCGCCTCTCCGCTCACCCACAACCCGCAGGAAGATGGAGGCCACGTCCTCGCCGGCGGGGTTGGTGACCTTGATGGTGTAGTGGCCCTCGTCCCCCCGCTCCGCGCTCTCGATCACGAAGCTGCTGCACTCCACTCGCTTCTCCACGCGGGTCCGGCCCTCGGTGGCCGAGAACACCTGGACACGGCCACCACACGGCGTGGCTCCGCATCACGTCCCCGCCCGGCCTGCCTCCGCCACCCCCCTGCCCAGGGCGCCCTGACTGTGACCGGGCGCAGGTGTCTGCCTCCCCGGGGGCCCCTGGGGGCAGGAGCCGCGACCCACCCAGGGCTGTGTCCCGGGAGCCACACGCCGCCTGGCGCGGGGACCCTGGGGACGCCTGCGAGTGAGTGCGTGAGAGGAGACTGACTAGGGTTTGTGCATTTCACGGGGAGGAAACTGAAGCGCCCCGGTGCCTGGAACACACAAGGCTCAAATACGCGTTGGGTCGCTGGCTGGACGGGTGGATATATGCATGCATGGATAAACGGGTAGATGTATTTCCGGATGGGGAGATGACTGGATTGCTTGCTGGATAAACGGACCAATGGATCAATTAGTGGATGGGTAGGTGGTTGAGTGAATTAATCAATTAGTTGATGCATGAAAAGATGGATGGATGAACGGATGAGTTGCTAGAGGGCTGGAAGGCTGCATTGGTCAATTAGCTGACTGATTAACTGACGGATGGGTGGCTCGAGCACCCACCACGTGCTGGGCCCGTACGTGTGGCCAACAAACATAATCTCCCGTCTTCAAAACAACCTCATGAAGAAGGACTCATCATCCTCATTTTATAGAGGATGAAATCGTGGCTCAGAGAGGGCAAGCAACTTGCCTGAAGTCGCCCAGCAGCACAGAGGGGAAGAGGACCTGGGCGGAGGGGAGGCCCCACCCACCTCATCTCCCTTCAGCCAGGTGGCGACGGGAGGGGGCTCCCCCGTGATGGCCACGTCCATCCTCAGCTTGTTCCCAGCCACGACCACAATCGAATTCTCCGAGGTCTTCCCCGAGCAGTCCAGGTGGATCTTCGGCGGCTCTGGTGGCACAGAACGGCGACCGGGGAGCTGGGGGCAGCGGGGCCTTCCCAACCCCCACTAGAGGACCTCAGGAGCCGAGGTTCCAACGGGAACAGAGACCGAGGGTGCAGTGGCCGCCATTTCCCCCGACCGGCAGCGCTCAGGCAGCCCGGGCTCACCTTGCTTTGGCAGTACTCCCACTTTGATTCTGGAACACAAGGAACCCGGCAGTTTAGGTCGAGACAGGGGGACAGCGGAGGCAGGGCGCCAGGCTCGGCGGCGTCCCAGGGCTGGGGGTGAGTGCAACGGCTTCGGGCAGGACCACCCCGTCCATGGTCCTCCGGGTGGGGAGGAGGGGCGCTTCACAGGATTGTTTGGCTTGGCGGTAGAAGTCGAGCGGGTGGGTGCTCTTCGCATGGCAGGCTGGGATACTTCATAGATCGCTCCCTCGTCCTCAGAGGCTTCCCGCATCACGGACTCTCAGGATGCATGCCGTTCAGCCGCAGCTTAGTGCGAATAAAAGGTTGGGGACGTGAGCGCATGCGCACGTCGTTGTGGTGCGCCTCTCATGTTCGGATCTTTTTTTTCTTTTTTCTGAGACAGAAGTTCGACTTTCGTTGTCAAGGCTGCCATGTGCGGTGCCGTAGGGCATTTGAGGGCCATAGAAGGAAGCACCATCTCAAACTCCTGGGCTCAAGCCAACCTCCTGCCTCGCTCAATGGCGCCTCCCGAGTAGATGTGGATTATGCATGAGGCGACCTCGCTGCACGTGGTTCACGCCTGTATGCCGGGGCATACCTAGCAATCTCCTCTGGGGAGGCTGGAGGCGGGCGGATTATCTAGGAGTTCAGGATAGTTGCTTGGCAATTTATGTCTTATACACAGCTCCTGAGCTAATGTATGTAAGAGAGAGCGCCGGTTTGTCTTGCGTCGGCTTCGGTTTCGATCTCCTAGACTAGTGGAATAGAAAGAATTTAATTTGGCGGCCACGGCACTCGGCCTTCCCCAGATATTGACTATAGATTAAGGAATTAGTACCGTTACAGGCATTGGCACGGCCGCATCCGGTGGGCGCATGCCTGTAGTCCCAAGCTACTCTTGTGAGTTAGCTGATGAGAAGGGAGGATCAAGTTGGGCAGCGCCTCGCCAGCAGGTTTGACGGTTGCTGATTCTGTCCCACGTCCTAGAGCATGGCGATGACACCAGATGCGCACTCCTAGCCGGGGCCCGGCATACAGGCCAAAGTGGAGAGTGACTCTGTGTTCTTCAAAAACGAATCTAATAAGAAGAAATGATATAAAGGACTTGGCTCTAAATAGACTGCTATAAACTTTGTAGTGTGTGGGGGGCTGTGCCCACCACCACTGCTAGATGGCCTAGTGTTACTCCACTTAGGTAGCTGGGTGGTGACCCTTAGGAGCAGCTTACTTAGCCTCTCTGTGCCTCCATTTACTCATCTATACTACCTGCATATGGGGTTATGGAGTACTTGATTCCATTAATGCCCCATCGGGTGCCCCAAGTGGCAGGTGGCTGTCGCATCTTGTCATCGGCATGAGAACCGTGACCTGGGCGCCTCGCATAGGCGCCGCCCTGTGGGCATCAGGGATGCGTCATCGTCCTCAATGACACGCGGGGGAGTCTTTCCTCCGGCAGGCACACTGGGAAGGATCACAGCCCGGCTGGCCATGGGGCTCACTTCGGGCCAGATGGGGATCCATCGGGGGGCTGCAGCGGTCCTCAGTGGCCTCGAACTCGGCAGCGGCTCGTACACAACAGGTGCACGCTGCGGACTTCCATTTTGCTTTGTGAGTTCTTTTGTGGGCTGGGCTCCCACTCTCTCCTCGCCCATCCCTGGCCCCGTGCTATGAGCAGCGGCGTTGGTTTGACAAGAGCCTCTCAGGGAGTACGGTGGGGCGGAGTGTTTGTTTTCCCTGCGCTCGCCTCTGCTGCGTGCTGGAGCCCTTGCGGGGAGACCCTGCAGGGCTCAGCCCGCCATTTTCCCCGGCGTCCGCGTCTGTTTGCCGCTCGGACTAGATCATGGGGCTGGCACCATGGCGACTTCGCGTGCCTGGCACGTGGCGGTGGGGGTCACTCGAGCAAGCGTGTGGCGTATTGGTTGCCCAGTGAAGGCCCGCGCGCACTGCTTCCCCAGCCTTAGGCCACAGCCACCCCGTCAGCTGGCCAGTTCGTAGCGCCCGCGCGGGACGGGGCCCTCGGCTCCCCCTCACGGACCAGCCGCCCTTGTTCCCGACGCCGAGGAGAAGTGACAGCCTCGGAGCGAGCGGCCCAGGGCCCGGGCAAGCGCCAGGCGGACCACGCGTCCGCCCTGGCGGCCACCCGCGTAGCGCAGCGCCATCGGAAGGCAGGGGGGATTCAAGTGCGTGAGGGTTCCGTTGGCGGAGGACGGCATCCGGCCGCACCAAGTCGCGCTCCGCCCCGGCACTCAGGGGCGGCGTATGTGGTTGCCTTTGGTTTCTTTTTACTGCAAGAGGATCACCATCTCCCACTCTCTGTGAGTGATATGAGCGCGGTGGAGGTAGGGTGGGCTGTCGGCTTGGGTGTTTCCAGGCTTAGGAGTGATGTGGCCGTGGCGTTCGGCCTTAGCTCTACAGCAAACGTCCAACTCCTGGCCTCGAGTGATGCCTCCTGCCTCAGGCCTTCCCGGTTGCTGCGGATTACAGCGCATGCGCCACATGCCAGCTACTCTCTTCTATCATATATTCTAGCTGGCAGGCTAATTTCTTTCTATTTTTACGTGGAGACAGGGTTCGGCCCTCTTGGCTCAGGCTGGTTTGCAGAACTCCTGACCTGAGCATCCTCCCGCCTTGGCCTTCCAGAGTGCGCTCGGATTTACGTCGCGCCCCCCACCCTGAGCACTGCCCCGGCCCAGAGCCTGCATTTTCTCAAACCGCTAAGTCTGTGCCGTTTTGTTACGCAGTTAGCTACCGGAAACACAACCGCCGCTAGGGAGCCGCGCGCGCGCCACCCGAGCCACGCCTCGACCTCCCGTCGGAGGGGATCGGTCGATCCTCTTGCCTGGGCCGCGACTCGAGCCCGTTCTTGTTTACACTTGGCCGCTGGTGACCTTCTCGTCAGACACCTCGCACTTGAACACGGCCTGGTCCGAGGCCTTCACGGTCAGGTCGCGACTTCCTGCAGCATCCTCAGCTGATTTTGGCTGCGCGGGAGAGGCCCTTGGACGGGGATCACTTACTGCGGGCCGGGGCCACACACGTGGCTCGTGAAGCCCACCGCGTGCAGGGCGCAGTTCATAGGCACTTTGGGGACAAACGAGCGTGGGCAACCCAGAAACTTCCCACCGGCCCTGGAGAGCTGACACTGCAGCGGGGACGGCAAGAAGAGGAAATGTCAACAAAGACGGGGCCTGAGGAGGGAGGGAGACCGCCAGCGAGACGCCGGAGAGGCACCAGGCACGACGCAGGGCTGTGCAAAGGCCTTGGGGCTACGCAGGCTTATGGAATAAGAGCTGGCAGGAGAGGCGCTGTGTGTGGGAGACAGGACGGTGCCGGCAAAGTGGACAGAAACCGACGGGCCCAGGTCATGGGCCTTGCCGGCCGTAGCCACTCTGGGTTGCCTCTAAGTGACGCTGGAGACGAGATCTTACACTCAAACTTGTATTTTGTTTTCAATAAGATCAGCCGGGCGTGGTGCGCTCATGGCTGTAATCCTAAGCACTACTGGAGGCCGAGGCGGGCAGATTGGCTCAAGGTCAGGAGTTCGAAACCAGCATGAGCAAGAGCACAACCCGTCTCTACTATAAAAAAAGAAATTAATGGCCAACAAGTAATAGTAGAGAAAAAAATTAGCCGGGCATGTTGATGAATGCCTGTAGTGTCCACTATCTGGGAGGGCTCGAGGGCAGGAAGATGCTTGAGGGCCGGAGTTGATGGTTGCTGCTGAGCTGGCTGATGCCCGGCACTCATCTGCTGGAAACAATCGAGACTGTCTCAAAAAAAAAAAAAAAAAAAAAATGATAAACAGGGCGTACGGTGTCACGCCTGTGTCTTGCTCTCTGGGGGAAGCTGAGGGCGGGAAGACGCTTTGAGGTCAGAGTTTGAGACCACCTGAGCAAGAGTGAGACCTGTCTCTACTACAAATAGAAAGAAATTAGCCAAACACTAAAATTAGAAAAAAAAAATTAGCAGTGCACGTATGCGTGCCTGGATTCCCACTACTCGGGGAGCTGAGGCAGAGGATCACTTGAGCAGAGTTGGGCTGCTATGAGCTAGGCTGATTGCCATCAGCACTGTAGTCAGAGTTACCAGAGTGAGACTCAAAATTAATAGCTTAAATAAATAATAAATAAAACAAAATGATAAACAGGGTGGTGTGGCTCCGCCGTAATCCTGAGCAGTCTGGGAGGTGGAGCGGAGGATTTCTGAGTCCAGGAGTTCGAGGACAGGCCTGAGCAAGAGCAAGCCCCTCTCTACTAAAAATAGAAAGAAATTAGCTGGGCAACAAAAAGAATTAGCCGGGCATGGTGGTGCATGCCTGTAATTCCCAGACTTCGAGGAGGCTGGAAGGAGGATCCTTTGAGCCCAGGAGTTTGAGGTTGCTGTGAGCTAGGCTGATGCCACAGCACCATAGCCCGGGCCACAGAGCAAGGCTCTGTCTCCAAAAAAAATTAAAAAGAAGAAGAAGAAGACGATATAAGGATGTAGATATAGAAAAAGGAAATCCTTCCCCAACCCCAGTCATCCTGATCCCCAGGCGTCTGGGGTACGTGCACATTGGTCTGTCCCCCCTCCTTCCCTCCTTCTCTCTTTCCCCCCCTCTACAAATAGCAGCATATTTGCTTGGTCACCTAACAATATATTCTGGAAATCCTTCCATGTCCTTAAATGCTAAACTTTCCTTTTTTATTTATGGCTGCATAATTGAAATGCCATCCTTTATTTGGCCCATAAATGACTTCAGTTTGTTTATTTTTTACTTTTGCTTTTTATAGAATTATAGACTCAGGCCAGGCGCGGCGGTGGCTCACGCGTGTAATCCCAGCACTCTGGGAGGCCGAGGCTGGGGGAATCGCTGGAGCTCAGGAGTTCGAGACCAGCCTGAGCAAGAGTGAGATCCCCGTCTCTACCAAAAAGAAAAAGAAAAAAAAAATTACAGACTCACGGGAGTTTGCAAAAAGTAGTGCATAGGGCCCTGTGTACCCTTTGCCCAACATGCCCAAGCGGTGACATCTTATATAACGTGACTTGTGTTTGAGGCTCACTCTGGGTGTGGAGGGTGAGTGGGGGGAGACTGGCTGTCAGGGGACAGGCACAAACACAGAGCAGCCACCGAGGAGGCTACTGCACCAGTCCGAGCAGGAGGTGCTGCAGCTGGGCCAGGTGGGGCAGGGTGGTGGAATGCAAGACAGACTTTGCCGGTGGAGCCGACAGCACTTGCTGGTGGGTTGGATGTAGGGGTGTGGGGAAAAGAGGAATGTGAACTAAAATAAAATCTGGCTGACTCAATGGACCCCCTCTTGGCCAAGGGGACCCCAGAAAGAAAAAGTCCTTAAAGCTGAGTTGCTGGCCATGAGGACAAGGGAGGTCAGACACGTCTAGTTATGCCCTGTCCCTTTTGAAGCTACTCTTTGTAACAAGAAGACACAAAATCAGTAACAAGCCTAAGGTCACGTAAGAAATAGGTTAAACCATACCTGCAGGCCATCAACTTACTTAAGAGATGACTTGAGTCTGGTCTATGTCCCGTGGGCCTGTCTCTGATCAACAGACTTCCTTATCCTAGCTTCAAATGTTCCCGGCCTTAGACAAAGCTTCATTACTTTAACCGATTGCAAATCAAAGAATCTTTATGGAAATTCATGCCTTTGGCAGATATCATGGTGTCAGAGCAAAAGTAAAAGACGTTTTTTGTAAGAAAAAGAAAAAAGAATCTTTAAACCCGCCTATAACCTGTAAGTTCTGCCTTTTGGGGACAGACCAGTATACGCTTTCCATGTACTGATTTGTGACTTCATGCATAATTCCCATCTCCCTAAAATGCATCAAACCAAACTGTCACCCAAGCACGGCAGGACCACGTGTTCAAGGCTTCTTGGGTGTGGCTCTCTGGCCATGGTCACACATATTCAGCTCTTTAAATAAACCTCTTTAAATTATTTTACAGAGTTGGGTTCTTTTCTGTTGATAGGAATTGGGGACAACTCTGAGCTTTGGGGCCTGGTGGCTTTGAGCTGCGAGGAGAGGCCGAGTGCGGCCCCCGCCCCACCCGGCCCCGTACCTGCCACACTGAGCTCGGCCTCACACTGGCCGCCGTTGGTCACCACCTGATACCGTCCCCCGTCCTCCAGGGTCACGTCCGAATAGATGAGAATGTGGCGCTTCCCGTCCTTCTTGAAGCGGTACCGGGCCTTGTAGGACTCCTCCCGAGTCAACTCCACGCCGTCCTTCATCCTGGGCGGAGGGGACGGGGCCAGCGAGCGGTCACACCCCCAGGCTCTGGGTCTGGGTCTCGGAGGGGGATCAGGGGCCAAGCAGAGGGGGCAGAGGAGGTCACAGGAGAAAGGAGAGAGAAGGGTGGCAGGGGCATCTTGTGTGGTGGGTGGGTCACAGGTGGGGTCGGGGGAGAGAAGGGGGAGGAGAAAGTCAAAGGCCACAGGGAGATGCCTCAAGGAATTGGCTAGACATCAGGGACACAATGAGAGGTCACAGGGAGAGGCCAGAGCCCAGAGGAAGCCGTAGAGTCTCAGAGAAATGTCTGTATATGACATGTCCCCTGCCAAGGGCACTCTCCCTCCCACTTCACTTACGCTTGCCTAGCATTCAGATCTCAGAGCATTCAGAGGAATCAGATTGTCACCTCCTCCAGGAAGCCTTCCCTGACCTCCTGAACCCCTTTCTCTGAAGGAAAAGCTGCTTCAGCATCTGCTGCTGCTGCTGCTTTCAAACACTTTTCAAAATACAACTTCTCCGTGTGTTTGTGCAAAAACTTGACCAATGCCTGTCTCTGTCGCCTACACCCACCCCGCCAAGTTTCCAGATTATAAACGCCAGGAAGGCAGGTACCATGTTGATACATCACTTTCCTCCCCATCAGCTCTCTGAGACGCAGGAGAGCGCCCCCACGTGACAGGTGAGTATTGGCTGGACGGGTGGGTGGGTGGATGCACGATTGAATGGATGGGGGACTGGTGGGTGGGTGGATGCACGATTGAATGGATGGGTGGGTGGGTGCATGCACGATTGAATGGATGGGGGACGGGTGGGAGGGTGGACTAATAAATATTTAACGAATCAGCAGGGATCAGAAAAAGGGCCCTGCAGAGGACGGGATGGGTGGAATTTCTAGAAGGAAGTCACGGTGAAGGTGGAGGCTTACGCAGAAAGGCTGAGGTCCCCTGGTGACTGCTGAGTAAAGGTCAGAGGGTCCCATAAAGACCAGGGCTGAGGCAGCAAAGCTGTGGGCACGGCGGGTCGGGACCGGGGCTCACTCACCACATGAGCTGGGCACCGTCCTCCGACACCTCCACCATCATTTCCACCCGGTCGCCCACAAACACCTGCTGGTCCTCGAGGGGTGTGACAATCAGGACGGGGGGTTCTGGCGGGGGCAGGGGGACAGGAGACGGATCAGCAGCTGCAGGACCCCCTGCAGAGCTCCGCCCCCCCCCCAACACACACCCAGGCTGAGGTCCAGCCTCACCCTTGACGAAGAGCTCGGTGAAACACTTCTCGTCCTTGACGGCTACTTCGTAGGCGGCGTCGTCGGCCAGCGTGCACTTGTTGATGGTGAGAATCCGCTTCTTCCCCACGTTCTCAAACACGTACCTGGCGCGGGAGTCTCCGCTCAGCCCGGGGTGCGGAGCGATCGATCGCCCAGCCCCGGGTAGATCTGCTCACCCGTGCTCTGGGCAAGTCTCTCCTGCTCACAGCCAAATGCGTGGGAGGGGACCGAGGGTCCAGTTGCTATTATTTAAATAACCACCGCGGAAATGCCAACCGTCCACCCACATCTATCCTCTCCTCCTTTTAGCGGTGGCACATGGCCGCCCACCTGGAGAACTACATTTCCCGGCCTCCCTTGCAGCTAGGCCTGCTGTGGACGGGGAAAGTGGGTGGAGGTGATGCATGTAGCTTCTAGGTCATCTCGGACTTTGAGATGGGCTGCTGGCTCTGCACTCCTCCCCTTCCCCTCCTGCTGCCCGGAACACAGATGTGACCATCAGTAATATAGATGGGGACACCCCCACAGGAGACGATATAGCTAACAATATGGACAGAAGCTGGGTCCCCAAATAATCTCTTAAAGGAGAGCTGGTCCACCAGCCTCAACCTTCTGGAAATACATGGCTGTCCACCCTACATGTATTGTGGGGCCTCTTTGTTATAGCGAATTAGCCTGTACCTTTACTGACATAGCATTTTATTTTATTTTGTTTTATTTTTTTTGAGACAGAGTCTCACTCTGTCACCTGGGCTAGAGTGCCGTGGCGTCATTCCAGCTCACAGCAACCTCAAACTCCTGGGCTCAAGTGATCCTCCTGCCTCAGCCTCCCAAGTAGCTGGGACTACTACAGGCATGAGCCACCATGCCCGGCTAATTTTTTGTTTCTACTTTTAGTTGCCCGGCTAAGTTTTTCTATTTTTATTAGAGACGAGGTCTCACTCTTGCTCAGGCTGGTCTCGAACTCCTGACCTCAATGGATCTTCCCGCCTCAGCCTCCCAGAGTGCTAGGATTACAGGCTCGAGCCACTGCGCCCAGCTGACATAGCATTTTATCTTATCAAAAATGCTCATTATGGGAGATTTAGAAAACACAACCAAGGAAAAAAAAATTTTTAACCCATCCATAACTGTCCCACCAAAAGATAACTTCTGTAAATATTTTGGCTCCTGTCTGTCCAATCTTTTCATTATATATAAATAAAATGTAGATTAACACTCTGTGAAGCAGAGGTGGGTAATACACGTCTTCACTCAATAATCTTGAACAGCTCCCACATTAGTGTATGTTCTAGAATCTCTGTTTTGGTGATTGTAGATCCCCTTAGTATGGAACTGTACATTTTGGTGGTTTCTTATTTTTTGCAACGATAGCAAATGCTTCAGTGAACATCCTCATAGCTAAATATATGCAGCCATGATAATTCCTTCACAACAGATCCCCACAATTGTGCAACCTAAAGACTTTTTAATATGTGGCCCTTTGGAGACTCACCAGTTTACATTCCCACCAGCAGCGTCCGTGTACCCATTTCCCTACGTCTTTGCCAGCACTGGGCTTTCTGATTTTGTAAAGCCTTTGCCCATTTGGAGAGCAGAAACACTATTGTTTTCATTTGCATTTTTATTATGATTATTTGCAAGGTCAAAGGTGTGCTGCACAGCTTATTGGCCATTTGGGTTTCTTCCCAGCTGAATCCCTGCCCTTCCTTGCTCTTGTCTTTTTTCTTTTTTCTTTTTTTTTTTAATTTTATTTTTATTAATTATTTGACATTAGGTTTCCACTTCTGTGTGAATCTTGTCTTTTTTCTAGTGAAGTATTTGTCCTTTATTATTATTTTAAATATGAGATCTTGCTCTGTCACCCAGGCTGGAATGCCATGGTGCAATCATAGCTCACTGCAGCCTCTAATTCCTGGGCTCAAGCCATCCTCCCACCTCAGCCTCCCGAGTAGCTGGGGGCTGTAGGCATGTGCCACCATTCTCAGCTAATTTTTTTTTTCATTATTTTTAGAGATAGGGTCTTGCTATGTTGCCCAGGCTGGTCTCCTGGCCTCAAGGGATCCTCCCACCTCAGCCTCCTGAGTCGCTGGGATTCTGGGAGTGCAGCACCGCACCTGGCAGTGCCTGTAACTTTGGCATAGGCGTGGGAGTGCCCTTTCTGGGCTAAGTTACTGACTTTGTTTCTGGGTGTTCTCTCTGGACTAGGACCCCCACGTAGGGGCTGCCCCACACCTACTTGCTGCTTGGTTTGATCTCCTGGCCGTTCTTGAACCACTTGAGGGGAAGGTCTGGGTCGCTGACCTCTACCACCAACTTGACCTTGTTGCCTCTGTCCACCTGGTAGGCCGGATCCAGCTTCTTCGTGAAGGCTGGGGGTTGCAGGGTGCGGAGGGGGTGGAGGTGAGAGGCGCTCACTCCCCTGGACATCCCCAGAGGTGCTAAGTTTCCCTCCCTGCACCATGGTCTCTCCAAGGTCAAGGTCAGGAGGCCTCCTATGAACTCAGAGATCCCCGAGAACAAGGCTCAATCCTGCTCAGGTTGGGGCCTCCTGAGATAGGTCCAGGGCCCAAGCAGCAGCTGCCCAGGGTGCGGGGTCCCCGTGGGCGGGCCCTCTCCCCTGGCCAGCACCGACCTGCGCTCTTCTTGACCTCGACCTTGGCCTTCTTGAGCCGCTTGAGCATGCCTCGGAGGTCGGTGATGCCGTACTGGAAGGCGATTCTCTCGTACTCGCTCTTCTTTGCCCCTTTCAGGAGCTCCCAGATCTCGGGGGGGATGCCCAGGTCATCGTCATCTTTCTTTTTCTTCTTCTCCTCCTCAACCACCTCCCTGGGGGTGGGGGGACAGGCCGGGCCACCAGGGGTGAGGAGGAAAGGACCTCGCTCAGCCTCCTGCACTTGCCCGCTGTGTGACTTACATGCCACCTCTGGTCCTCATTCTTCCCCACCTGGCCACCGGCCCAGCCTCCTCCCGGGGTCTCCTGGCCTCCGCTCTGTTCCCCACATGCCCCCAGGGGACATTTCTGACACCCACATCAGATGCCATCCCTTCCCTGTTCCAGACTTTTCCATGGCTCCCATGACCCTCAGGGGAAACCCCCTCCTCAGCCTGGCAATCACAGCCCACCTGTCCCCATCGCCACCCCGAGACCCTCCAAACCAAGCTACTTGCCTTTTCCTGAACACGCCAGGCTCTTTCCTGCCTCCCAGCCTGTGCACAAACTGTCTCCCTGCCTTCAAGACCTCTCCCCACCTCCTCTCCCTGACGGACTCCTCTTCATCCTACAAGACCTAGGCCAAAGTTCCCTTCTCCATGAGGTACTCCTTGTCCCCAGGGCAGTGCGCTGCTCTCGCTCCAGCTCGCACAGGCCCCGGGGGACCCTCTCTGATCACACCACCTAGGCCCCGTCTGCGTCCGGGGCTGTTGGGCCAGACCCATCTTCCCACGGCAAGGAGTGACTGAGCATTGGGGACCCAGTCCAACTTCCCTCTGTCCCCTGACCTCAGCCCAGGGCCTGGTAGACAGGAGGCCTCAGAAGTTTGATGAGTGAGAGAGTGAACGAATGCATGGGCGGGTCTTTGGAAGGAAGGAAGGAAGGAAGGGAGCAAAGAGAGGACAGCTGGGTGGGCGAATGTGGGGACAGTGAGCAAGTGGACAGACGGGGAGGCGGGTGGATGGGTTGGTAACGGATGCTTGGCTGAGTGGACCAACGGGTTGGTGGGAAATGGCTGGGCAGGAGGCAGGTGGATATGTCGACAGGAGGTGGCAGGTCAGTGGCTGGCTGGCTGGAAACAGATGAATCTATCAGTCATGATGTTGTCAGGGATTTGGTTATGGGGACAGACGGGGGAGCAAAGTCAGCAGAGGTGCACTAGCGATAATGAACGGATGAGTAAGTGGACAAGCATTATGTGAAACAATGTGGAATTGCCAATATTGAGTCATTCTTGACCCACAAAACATCAGTCTCATATAGTTCAATCCAATAGAGAGCTAGCCTGGTGGGTGGGTGCGTCAACACCTCTCACCTGCTCCATCCATCCCCCGCTTCCCAACTCTTGGGGCACCCATCTACCTGCCTCTCCACCACCCATCCACCCACACCTGCATCTCTCTCCCAACTGAATCTACCATCCCATCCACCCATGTAGCCAGGCTGAGCATAATGGCAGGGGAGGGGCGTGGGGGGTGGACAGGTGGGAAGATGGTGGGTAGATAGATGGATATGCGGGTTGATGGCTTGGCAAGTAGGTGGATGGGTGAGCTAATAGGTGCATAAATAGGTGGATGGATGGATGGATGGATGAGTGGATGGATGGATGGATGGATGGATGGATGGTGGGTGGATGGATGGATGGATGGATGGTGGATGGATGGATGGATGGTGGGTAGATGGATGGATGGATGGATGAGTGGATGGATGGATGGATGGATGGTGGGTGGATGGGTAAATAGATGGACCAGAGCCTCAGTAAACAGGAGAGTGGATGTGAGGCTGGTGGATTAAAGAGTGAGTGGGTGGGTGAACTCACAGCAGGCGGTTGATCAGGTGGGGTTGTGGGTGGGGGTCTGGGTGAATGGGTAGATGGGTGGATGGACGGGTGGCCAGATGGGTTGGTGGGTTGATTACTGGGTGGGCAGGGAGTCCAGAGATGATGGTGGGGAAGCAGCAGCTGTGGGGCCTCACCCACCACCCCCCTCCACTCTCTGTGCCCGGGGGCCGCTCACCTCTTCTTCAACAGGCCGCTGAAATCCAGCTCACCTGCGTTCTCTGACTTCGCCTCGCCCCTGTGGCCATTGACAGGGTGTGTGAACCCCACTGGCGTCCTGTCCCCTCAGACTCACCCCAGGGGCCCCACTCCTTGCCTCCCCCAATCCTCCTTCTCCACCCCCCCCCAAGGGAGAGCCTCCCATAGTCCTTGGCCTCCCCAGGGTCCAGGGGCACTTACGAACGCTTGAAGGTCTCTAGACTCTGCCCAGAGGCGTCCTGGCGGGGCGCTGGGGGAGGCGACGGGGAAAGGGGACATGAGCCAGAGCGAGGGCTGAGCTAAGACCAAGAGCTCCTCTCCAGGCCTGCACAACCTCTTCCAGGCCCCCTTTCCTCCGCCTCTTGGACCAGCACACCCCCTCGCTTGGGCCTGGACATCCGCCACTCCTAGGTGGCTCACACTTCCCTGGCTGCCACGCACACCCGCTCTCGGCAGCCTGTGCCCCCTGCACCGGGCCTGGGCAGTCTCGTTCCCTGTGGGGCTGCAGACCCCCACAGCCTGTTCACCCTCAGGCCCTCGTGCCCCCAAATCTGTGCAACCTCCTGGTAATCCTGCACATCCTCATCTAAACCCGCACACCCTTGTACTCTAGACCTGGACACCCTACTTCCCAGCCTTTACTCCTACATTCTCGAACCCGGAATCTACATGACTCACCTCCTAAGCCTTCGCATGCGCACCCCAAGACCCTGAACACTTTCACCCCCAAATCTATACCTCCGCCTACTCTAAGCCTGTAGGTTGTCCCCCCAGTCTTGAATGCCCTGACCCCTGAACCTCTACGGCCTCCTCCAAACACCTGCATGGGCCTCCCCCCACATCTCTACCTCTGTCTACACCTGGCTGCCGCCTCCGTGCCCCACCCAGACCCACGCCCCTCGGCCCCCCACTCCCTGCCAGCGCACCCTCCACATCGATGTTGAAACCACAGCTGTCGCAGGCATCCTTGGTTTTGACCTCGAGGCGGTAATCCCCGCGGTCCCCCAGAACCACCTTCCCAATGTGCAGCTCCACGGTGTACACCTGAGGGCAGGGCCGGGGTGTGGGTGCAGGTGACCACCCCCAGCACCACCCCACACCCCCCAGAGACCACCTCATAACTCCGCCTCCACGTCCTCACCCCCAACCCACAGGCGGGGCCGTGGAGACCTAGAACAGGGGTGCTTAGCACCTGGTGGCCAGCTCTGTCCCCCCTCGCACCTGGCCAATGTCCACCCGGGGGCCCGTGTTCCCAACTCCCTGAGACCTTCCTGGGAGTGCATGTGGCCCCCGGCCCAGCACCCCCTCCTGCCCTGCCCGGCCCTCTTGTCCCACGGGGTCCTCACATTGCTGGCCGAGTCGTGGGACTCCTTGAAGGTGAATCGGGCGCCGCTCTTGCTGCCCAGCTCCAGCCACTTGCCCTTGAACCACTTGATGGTCGGTGTGCCCTGGAGCTCCTTCCCGTTCACCTTGGCCACGATCACCGTGTCCTTTCCTGTGGGGGGGGAGGGGGTCCAGTCAGAAACCTACAGCCTCCACGGGGGCTGTGAGGTTGCGACACCCCAGCCCCTCCCCCCTCAGCCCCGGGCTCCAGGCCCCCAGCCCTTCCCGCAGGCCCCTCACCAGTCTCCACCGACACAGAGTCCGGCTTCTTCAGGAAAATGCCGGTGGGCTCCTCAGCGGTGGGCGACTGGTCCTCAGGTGGGGCTTCTGCTCGGGAGACAGGATGACGGGGTCTCAGGTGGAGGAGGGGCAGTGGGCCACTGGGGGGAGGGGTTAGAGACACTGAGGCAGCCTCTGCTCAGAAAGCCAGAACCATGAGGGTGAAATGGCCATGAGGGTGAAAGACCATGTCACCCAAGTGGCTATGTGGCCTTGGCCAGCTCCCCCACACTTTTGAGCCTCAGTTTCCCCATCTGTGGACTGGAGGGTCCTGAATGGGCCTTGGAGTAGGAGAGGTTAGAAGACAGACAGGGGCGTTCAAAGCTGGGCAGGATCGGGATCCATCAGCCAGGTGCCGAGGAGGCTCTGTCCAGGGTGTCAGGGTGCCCGGGCGGCTGTGAGCAGGGCAGGTGCCCATCACCTCTGGCCGTGGGGACAGATGAAAGGACAGAGACCAGGAGAAGGCTGGGATGAGGGTGCAGAGGGGAGCGTGGGGGAAGTGAGATGCCGGGCAGGCCGAGCCAAAGGAAACACCGTCTCACCTTTGGGGGCCTCCTTAGGGGCCTCCTTAGGGGCAGCCTCTTTGGGAGCTCCTTTGGGGGCATCTTTGCCTTTGGGGGCCTTTTTGGCTGCTGCAAAGTAGGAGAAGTTCATAGTTGAGCAGGTGTTCAGCTCCTTCCACCCTCAGACTCAGGGGTCCATGTCCCCAGCCCCTCCTCCCTCAGACCCAGGGGTCCATGTCCCCAGCCCTCCTCCCTCAGACCCAGGGGTCCATGTCCCCAGCCCCTCCTCCCTCAGTCCCAGGGGTCCATGTCCCCAGCCCTCCTCCCTCAGTCCCAGGGGTCCATGTCCCCAGCCCCTCCTCCCTCAGACCCAGGGGTCCGGGCCCCCATCCTATGTGTAAATCTATCTCTCACCCTGAGACTCTATGGGATCAGGTTTCCCTTACTCCAGGCAGGCCCTACCCCATCCACCCAGGCCACCAGGCCCTGACCTTTTGGGGCCTGGGGGTATAATTAGCTCTACCTCCGGCTGGAAACTGGACACCTCGTGCTGACCACAGGATCCTTCACCTGCCCTGCCTGCTGGCTCCTGGCCCGCTAGGCCCCCAGCTACAGCTGGGGCTGGACCCCCATCCACAGCCTGGTTGGCAGACGGGACAGCCCAAGAGGGGGTTCCCTCCCACGCTTGTGTCTCCCATGCTGACTTTGTCATCGAGAGGAAGCCTGTCCCCATACAGAGTGTCCCCCAGCCCCATTCAAAGGAGGACCCCAAAACTCTATACAAAGTAAGGACCCCAGCCCCTCCATGAAGAAGTCCCCCTAATTCCTATGCATGGGAGCCCCAATTCCAAAGAAGGGAGGCTCCCCCATCCTTATACAGAGAATTTCCTGTGATTCCATGCAGGTGGGAACCCCTAATCTTTATACACACACAATCACCCCATATCCTACAGAGAAAGGCCCCAATCTTCTCTCAGAGAAGTGGCCCAGTCCCTACGCAGAAGATGCCACCCTCAAATGTAGAGGACATCAGTCACCATGCACACGTTCCCAAATCTGCACACAGGACCCCCACCCCCATGGAGAAAAAGGGACCCCAATTTACAGAGAATCGTCATCTCCACCAGAGATGGGGCTCCCAATCGCCTGCAGAGAAAGGAACCCCCTCACGGCAGAAGGAAGGGGTCCCCCATCCGACACAGACACGGGACCCCCCATCTCACCCAAGGACCGCAAACCTCTCCTTACAAAGGGAAGGGGACCGCTCTCCCCGCGCCGGGACGGGAGCGCCCCCTCACACCGAAGGCGCCCCGTTCTCCCACCCCACAAAGAGAGGAGCCCCGAAACCTCATTCAGAAAAGAAGACCGCACGGGGAAGGGGTCTGGCAGCCACCTGGTTTTGCCTCGGGCATGTCGGTGGACCTCCTGCCACTCCTCTGACCGCCGCTGTGTCCCGCTAGGCCCAAGGGAGGCCAGGTGGGCCCCCAGGGGGAGCCCTTTAAGGAGTCCCGAGGCTCCCAGAAGGCCCAGGGAGGCCCGGGCAGGCGGGCCGCCCCGCATTCCGCCGGCGTGCTCTAAAGGGCGAGAAATAACAGCCGGCGCGGAGAGGTGGCTGGATGCCCGCGCCCCGGGGGAAGGCCTGCGGCTCGGACCCGGGTCTGCGCGGCGGCGGGACGCCAGGGTCTGGGGGGGAGGGGGGGCTGGGCGCTGGGACCCCTGAGTCTGGGGGCGGAAGAAGCCGGGCCCGGACTCGGGTCCCGGAGGAGGGATGAGGGCCTGGACGCCGGGGTCCCCGGGGGCCGGGACGAGCGGAGGTCCCACGCGGGTAAGGGCGGCGAGCCAGGCGCGGCCGCGCAGGGGCGGGGAGAGGCGGGGTCTGGAAAGCCATTCTTAGTATCTGCAAGTCAGGAGTTTTCGGGAAACCGGAGCCGGGAGGGAGGTCGGGTTTCCCAGCGTAGGCAGGACGGCTGCGGGGGGGCGGTCTCCGGCCTCCAGGGAGCGCACTGGGGCTCCGGACTTCGGCGTCCCGGGCGTGGGCAGACCCGCGGGCCCGGCCCTCCCGCACCGCCCCCGCTCGCCCCCCGACTGTTCCCGGAGCGGCGCGCGGCCCGGACGCGGGGGAGGGCGGGGTCCCCGCCGGGGGCGGCTGGGAGGCTGGGAAGGCCCTGGAGGGCTGCCCGGACCTTGGCGCCCTTCCCGGCAGGGGGACCTGTGACTTTCTGAATGGGGAGGTGGCCGGACGCGGGCTGGGGGGGGAGGTGAAGGCGGTAAGGGGGCGGGGCCTTGGGGAGGGCGGGGCTTGGGAGAGCAGGTGTTGAGGGGAGGAGGGCGAGGTGGGCACGGGAGGTAGGGAAAGGGGGTTAGGAACGTGGAGCTAAGGCGGGGGACCGCCTGGGAAGTAACGCAGCCTGAGGGACCCAGAGGGAGGGTAGACAAGCCCCTCCCCTTTTTCTTCCGGCCCATCTCCCCCACCCCTTTTCCAAAACCCCCTATGAGCCGGAAACTTCCCCGCCATGGGGGGGGGACCTGGCTAAGCCAACCCAGCAGCAGCCTGCCTGTGACGTCACGAGTTGTCAGGCAGACTGCCACGCCGCTCCCGAGAAGCCCGTCAAGTTCTGGCGGGGCAGGTGTCTGCAGTGGCGCTGCCGCCTGGAGCCTCGCGTCCCTTGCCACCAACCCGAGGGCTCAACCCAGAGGCGAGGGTGCCTGGAATAGAGACCCAGACGGAAGGGGAACCATGAAGGAGGTGGGGGAGAACTCTAATTGGCAGGAAGAGAGAAGATACAAAAATTAAACGGAACCTCAGTGCTGGCACCGCAACCCCTTTATTCGGCAAAGCTCAGCCAGGTCTGGCTGTTTGAACTCCTCTTTGAACTCCAGTCTCTTTTTCCCCCTTGTTGTCGCCGTCTCCGATGGAGGGGCAGGATTGCAATCCCTGACAAAGTGTCCCAGGAGGTCTACCTTGATTTCTTTTGTTTTATCTTCTTTTATTCAACATTTAGGATGCGGCGGTAGCTTTTGTAAAAGTACCTTCTTTGTAGCAGGAGGCCTTGGGGAGGACGTTGTTTTGCACGTGCCTCCCTCCTTCCCTCCCCACTCCTCTTGAGGGCAGGCCCCAGCCTAGGCTCTGTGGCCAGCCACTGTGTGTCCCCCACGTGGGCTTCTTGCCTCTCTGGGTCTTTGATGCTCCTCCTCCTCGACATCAGTGGGGAGTGGGGTGGGTTTCACGTGTGTCAAAGGCTCAACAGGGCTGCAAGTACTTTTTGAGATCTTCCTCCTCCTCCTCCTCTCCCCCTTTCACCAAAGGGACACACAGGCCTGGCAGTCATTTCCCCTTAGATCACCCGGCCCACCCAGGCTCAAGGACCTGGACCTCTGTCCTCTTGGACCACGCTGCGACTCCCCAGGGGTCCCAGTCAGAGCCCCACAGTCACGCAGGCGTCGGCTACAGCTGGGCTTACCCAGGGGTTGAGGCACAAATGGTTGAGGCCAAACAGGCAGCTGACAGAAGCCACTGGGGTAAGACAGCCGGGGGAGGCAGAAACCGGGGCACATTGGAGCAGAAATGCCACATTAGGAGGGGCCACGTCCTGTTCCGGCCTCCCCAGACTGCAAAGCTGGCCCACTGTCGCCAGATCGCCCAAAGTTTTAAGTGAAGGCAGAAACCTGGATTCTGTAAAATCTCCCCATTTTGAAAGGTAAGTTGTTAATGTGATCCCACCCACCCAGCCACCCACCCAAACCCCCAAATGCTGCAGTGAACTAAAGAAAACACCACCAGGGACCTAGTTTGCCTAGACTGTGGAGGGGACCAGCTTGATACCTCTGGTCAGGAAGGACAGGAGAAGCTGCCAAAATCACCCAGAAATCGGCTGAGTGGCCAGAATGATCCTCAGTGTGACCATATGGAGGGCCCCCCAGGATGGGTAGGGTCCCCATGAGAACTTATGGCTGCTGTGAGGTCCCTAAAGGGGCATATCAGATGGGGACCCTAGGGGGGCCTCAGATGTGATTGGGGGATCCCAGAGATGGCAAGGGCATCCCAGTGGGGGCCCCGATATGACTCAGTTCACTGAACCCCCCATCCTAGACCTGACCAGAGTGATTTTGGACATGACAAAGGATCCCAGAGGGGCCCTGGATGTGATTGGAGAATTCCAGACACAAGAAAGTGACAGTGGAATGGTTCCAGAGAACCAGAGGATCTCAAGGATGGCAAAGGGATTTGAGGGGACAGATGTAACAAGAGTCACAGATGGGCACAGAGATCTGAGACATGATAAAGGACTAGGAGGGCTCGGATCTGACAAGAGGGACTCAGACACGAGGAGGGGACCCTGGACAGGGCTCAGGGTCGCTGGCAGGGCCCCCCTCCTGGTGTGATGATCTGTGCGCTCCCCTCCATGAGACTTCAGGGTTCCCAAGGGGTCTTGGGGAGGTCCCAGGCCCGGTCGGGGGATTCCCAGAGAAGCTTCTGGAAGCAGTACCCCACCCCGGCACCCCCCATTAGTGGTCTACGAATCCTGAGCCCCAAAGCACGAGCATCTGGGGACCCTACGTGGCAGAGGAATGCCACAGGGGCCCCTGCGCAGGGCTTAGGGATTACTGGCCACTCCCCCACCTCGAGTGTGGGTTCCGCAGGGCCTATGACCTAGGGCGTGGCGAACGTGCCACGGGGACCCCAGAGGAGTCCTGGCTGGGCCGCGAGGTCCCCAAGCGGCTCCACAGGCGGTCTGGGGCTCCCGGGGCAGCCGGGCGGGGCTCAGGCGCGGCGGGCGCCGGGCAGCAGCGCGCTGTCGAACTGGTAGGTGAGCTTGCGCTTCACCTTGCGGATCTCGCCGGTCTTGGCGTAGTTGCGCAGGGCGCGCGCCAGCTTCTGGTAGGTCATGCGCTTGCGGTTGCCCTTCTGCTGGCCCCAGCGGCGCGCCAGGAGCTCCTTGTGCTTGGAGGAGAACTGGAAGACGCCGGCGCCGGGCTCCACCCACCACACGCACTCGCGCATGTCGCCGCGGGTCAGCAGCCCCAGCAGGAACTGGTACAGGCGCAGCTTCTTGCGGGCCCCTGCGGCGGGGTAGGGACAGCCGTTAGGAGGGGGTCCCGCCCCCACGCCCACCCAGCCTCAGTCTCCCCACCCAGAGAAGTGCGGCGAGGGAGGTGCCTGCTGGATCCCCCTGACTCTGCCCCCATCCCGCCCGAGTCCCGTCCGGCAAGTCACTCCCTCCCTGCAGCTGTCAGCCCTTGGAACGCCATCCCCCTCCCGCGCTTCAGTTTTGGGGACCTGCGTCTGTCCTGTCTCCTGCTCTGCGGCCAGCACACAGTCGCAGGTGTTTGCTGAGCCCGCCAGTGGAGGGACCTGTGACACGGGGTGACAGTGCTCCTCCAGGGCTCATGTTATTGATAGCGGAGCGCACTGGCCGCTAATGGGTCCGGGCTCGGTTTGAACGGCCCGGCCATTTCTCCAGCTCCTGGTCTCCCAGCCGCCCAGCCCAGACGGGACACAGGGTCCCTGGAGAGGCCGAGGCACGTGACTCCTGGGCTCCGACATGCAGCAAGGACCCCACTGAGCTTGGGGTTTCAAAGCAGGGCACTGGGTATGAGAACCTTCTGCCATTTCCCAGCTGTGCCAACATGGGGTGGTGATGTAGTGAATTCTATCACCTTATGTTTTCTCAGCCCCCATTTTAAACCTAAGCTGGACTTTCTCATACCGGAAGCAGGGCTCAGTCACCCCTGACCGTTTCCAGTTCTACCTACGCTCCCCCACCCCCACCCCCTTGAAGAACACTGAATGGTCCGAAATGTGGTGGATCGCAGATACCTGCCTTATGCCACTGCCACCTGGTGACCTCCTCCCTATGGGACAGCTCGACGCAGCCTTCCTGACAGCCCTGCTGGCCCCCAGGCCCCAGATAGGGGGGGTCTCAGTGATCACCTCTCAGACACAGCGTGACCTCCTGGAACTGGAGCCTACTTGCAGGAATCCGGTTTGGATAACACCCTGGAGCCCAGTAAAGGCATCGGCCCACGGGTCCCTCTCTCTCTCCCCCTGCCTGTGCTCCCTGGCATGCGTGTGCGTGGCCTCAGAGAATGCCACCTACCCCTGAGGACCTGTAAGTAATAAAATCTTTATTTCCATGTTGTGTCTCTCCTAACCAGTGGGGGGCGCTAAATTAAAACAGGTGACTTAAGCTCTCTGCGTTAGAGTCTCTTCAGCCATAAATGAGGCTAATGTGTGTGTGTGTGACTTTTACAAAGCCCTGGGGAGCATTTGGTGCCAGGTGCCTTCCCAGTTGCTACACAGTTACCCTCCGGGATGAAGGACGCTACCCATGAGATGGGAGGAGAAGGATGCCCAGCTTACAGAGGGGAAATCGAGGCCCAGATACAGAGAGCCGCTCATGACCCTAACTTCTCAGAGTTGAGTATAGTGGATGTTGGGCACATGGGCATAGCAGAGGTTGAATAGTTGGGGGTTGATCTCGAGGTTATTTTTGTTGCCACTCTGTGGATAATGACAGTGAAGATGTCGACTTATTGAGTGCTCGCTCTGTGGCAAGCACTGCTGTCCCATGTACACGTGTGATCCCGTTTTATCTCCTAATGACCTCACGAGGGTAGACACTATCACTGCCATGCCCCCTGCACAGACAGGAGGAAACCAAGGCACAGAGAGGTAGAGGCACTTGCCCAAGGTCACACAGCCAGAAGCAGGTGTGGAGTTGGGAACTGCCCTCCTCACTGGAGTATACAGTAAGTGCTTGGGAAGCCACGGCTCCTCTAGCCCTCTCCCCCACCCCGTCCACCCCCACATACCTGCCTCAGATCCCCTCCCCTCGGGGCCGGTCACGAGGGCCTCGTCCGACTCGCTGTCCGAAACCTCCAGGGCGGGGCTGTCCAGCAGCAGATCTTCCTCCTCCGACAGCACGGGGCTGGGGTACGGGGCGAACGCCGGGGGCCCCAGAGTCTGCGGAAGGTCAAGGTCACCTGCACATCCGGGGCCCCCTCTCTCCCTCCACTTCCCCCACTCGGCCCCCTGCTGTGGCCCTCCCTGCTCTGCCCCAACTTTGGGGACAGCGTGCACGCTGTGGTGGCCAGGGCACACCTGAGCCGCGTCTGTGACAGCCTGCCCGATGCAGCCACCCCGCCGTGCTGTCCTTGCTTCGCCTCTGCCTCTCTCTGCCCACTCGCGCGGGGGGTCATGGCCGTACCTAACCTCCGAGGTTGCTCAAGGGGTCACTGTGTGCACGGGTTTTAACGCAGGGCCTGTCACCCAGTAAACCGCAATCAGATGACAGTTTGATTTTAACTAGCTCCCTGCCACTCACCTGGCTGGAGAAGTCCTCTGTGGGGTACGCTGGGAGGCCGGGCCCTGCGGCCTCCAGGCTGGGGGCCGGGTCGAGGCCCCCTGCAGAGCTGTAGGCGGAGGGTCCATAGCAGAGCTGGACAGCCTGGGGGTGGCCAAAAGCGGCCACTGCCGGGTCGAAGGCTTCATAGGGGGCAGCTGGGACAGGCGGGGACCCGGCCCAGTCCCACAGGGGATCTGGGGGAAGGGCACCGAGTCAGAAGCTGGGCGGTCTGGCTGAGGCCTCCTCCTACTTGAAGCCCCCAGCACAGACAGGCCATTGTGGGCCGTGCAAATATGTAACCCCAGGATTTGCATGGGGGAGCAGCTGGGTGGGAGGGGGAAGGGGAGGAGGCCTGGAGGCCTGGGCTACCCTTATCCCGCTGTGCTAGGTCACGCCCTGCCCTGGGCCTCAGCTCCCCCATCTGTGAAATGGGCCCAAGGCCTGGGTGGGGAGGGGCTGGGGTCACTCACCAGGAGCCCCGTCTGAGTCGGGGTAGCTGGAGTGCTTGCAGCTGTCCAGGTCATAGAAGACGCCGTCTGGGTACTGATGGGGTGGGGAGGGAGGAGGGGTCATGGCAGGCTTCAGGGAGCCCCCAACCCCACCCTGGACCCTTGGGAGGCTCCAACACAGACAGGGGAGAGAAGAGGCGACGCTGGAGAGAACCCAGAGACAGACAGAGACAGTGAAAGGGAGAGACGTGGAGACAGAGCACGGAGATACGGACAGTACAGACAGACGCAACGCAAGACGGACACACGGCAGCCGGCTCCTGCTGGGACCGTGGGCTCCCAAGACCCCTGGCACCTTGCAGGTGTGCAGGCAGCACACGGGGTGGGAGAACCCCTGCCTTGTCTGCCCCGGGGTGGGGGGCGAGGGGCAAGAGCGGGCGGAAGTGTTTTTGCAGAGGCTGGAGCTCAATGCCTCTCAAACCCACGTACTCGACATTTCTCCCACTTGTCCCAAGAATCATGTGTTGCTTTAGCAACTGGGGACGAAACCCTGTCCCCGTGACCCAGCAATCTCACTCCTAGGAATTTCACCCCGGAGAATGGAAAATGTATGTCCACGAGATAGCCGTGTTCAAGAACAATCATCAGACAGTGTTATGTCTAGCAGGTTTTCTGGTCCTTACCAGAAGACGTAAAATAAATAAATAAATAAATGAAAGAATAATGACAGACGCTTGGTCAATAGCCCCCACCTGGAAACAGCCCAGGTGTCCACCAGCAGGTGCAGGGGTACAAACCGCGGCGGTGCCCAGTCGTGGAGCGCGACACAGCCAGAACATGGGACAAACACCCGACACACTTCCTGCTGCGCCCAGGAAGCCAGACCCTGGGAGGGACACACTGCACGGTTCACTTTGTATAAAGTTCAAAAACAGGCAACACTAATCGATGGTGGAAAATATCGAGTATTGAGTGGGAAGGGACATGAGCGGATATTCTGGAATGATGAAAGTGTTCTATGTCTTGATCTGGTTTGTGGCGACGCAGGTGTACGCGTAATGTGAAAACTCATTGCGGTGTGCTCAGGACTTGTCACTTCACTGACCTGTAAGTTACACCTCAATTAAAAAACAAAACAAAACAAGAGGAGGGGACCGGGTGGGGGAGGGGTTCTCTCGGCAGCAGCCCTCAGGTTTTCGTCCTCAGACTGGGTGGTGGGTGTGAGGGTGTTGGGCATAGCATTCTTGTGTCTGAAATACTACAGAGTCAAAACTTTAAAAGCACAAAAGAGGAGGAAGGGACAGAAGAGACATGTGTGTGTACTTGCTGACCGTGGGGTGGGCAGGGGACAAGACGCACAAAGTCACAGGGAAGCGGACTCAGTCTGAGCGCAGGAGGGACGCTAGAAATGGGGCTGTGATGGGATGGGGGGTGGCGGGAGATACCAAGGGGGAGTTCAGAAAGACAAAGAAAGTGACAGGAAGGGATGGAAGGGGAAACTGAGGCAGGGGGGAGCAAGTGACCTCTCTGAGGGAGGTCACTGGTGGGCCGCCCCTCCCTGGCGCCCAGGGGCCCCGACTCACCAGACAGCTGAAGTGTGGCCCGTCGAGCCTGGAGGGGGAGAGACACAGGGGCATGTCAGGGCTGCCTTCAGCCACCTGAGCCTCTAAGTGGTTGCGGCTGACGGCTGACGGGGAGGCAGCAGCAGTGGGCACAGCTGCTGTCTCTGCAGTCGGGCTCAGTGTCCCTGCGTGAGACCTGCCCCACCACACTCACCCACCCCACTCCCCACCGGGACAGGAAGTGGAGGGCGGGGGGCCAGGCAAATGTCCCCCCCTCCCTGGGATTTGCATAGACACAGGCTGGGGGGGGCAGAGAAAGTGAGGGAGAGAAAGTCCCCGGAGAGGAGGTGGGGGTGGGGGCCTGGGCCGAGCTGGCCTGGTGGCAAGTCGGTTAAATGAGTGCACCTTGGACCGGGCGAGAGGGATGGAGAGATGTCTGGGCAGAGACAGGAAACAGAGACGAAGGGTGTGCAGAGACAGCCACGCACCCAGGCAGAGAGCATCTCTGGAGTCCCCGGGACAGAGAGGTGGGGTGCGGGGTGAGGGAGGAGAAACAGATGACAGAGAGAGCGGCAAAGAGACGGGGAGACGGAGACACAGATACAGCCAGACACGGAGTGAGACGGGGACACAGCGAGGGCGACACAGTGAGACCCGGGAGAGGCGGGGACAGGCAGCGTGAGAGCCACAGAGGACGCCAGCGGAGGGGACAGAAGCAAGTGTCCCAGGGAAATGAGATATTTGGGGGCCAGGAAAGACAGGGCTGTGGGGAAAGAGCCCGAGGTGGGAGGTGGAGAGGGGAGAGAACCAGCTGGGCAGGGGACAGTGTGGACCCCTCCCGTCCCACCCACCTGCCCTGGGCGGGGCAGAGACCACCGCCCGTGGGTGAGGGGCGGAGGGGGCTGGGGCTGGGGGTCCTGAGTGCAGGGAGGGGGACCCCACTCACTGTGCAGCCTCCAGGGCGAGCATGGTGGTGCAGAGCTGGAGCCTGCCGCCTGTGGCCACCGCCCTATTTATACCTTGGCCCGGCCCCCTGGGGGGGGCATCGCCCAGCCCTCCTCGAAAATCCCCTCGGGGAGGGGGTCAGGGAGGGGGCTGGATTGCACAACCCTGTGGTCACGTGGCAGGGAGGGCGGGCCAGGGGCTGCCTGGAATTGGGGATCCCCACAGGGGGTGGGGCTGGGAGAGGAGCTGGATTGGGGGACCCCAAAAAAGCAAGGGGCCAGGGAGGTCCATGAAGGGGGGCAGGAACGGCGGGAGAGGGACCCAGGAGCCACATGGCAGCAGGAGGGGCTGGGCCATGGGTCGGGTGGGGACGGCAGCCGGACTCTGTCCCCGAGGGACGTACATGGCGATGTCAGGAGGCAGGGAGGGCCACTGGGACAGACACGGGGATCGCCGGGGGTCTCATAAGTGGACAGGGGCTGGGGGGAAACCAGACCCGAAGCCGATCGCCAGGACCCCAACGTGGAAACATCCGTGGGTGTGTGACGTGGCAGGGGGGTCCCCTGGGTCACGCCGGGGAGTGGAAGCCTCTGTGCCAGGGGCTGCCCCAGGGCCTGGAGAAAACAGGTCAGCACCTGGAGGGCGGGGCTGGGGCCAGACACCTGGGTGCCCTGAGCAGGGGCAGAGGAGAGCGTGTGCGGAGACATTCACCCATGGCTGCATGGGGGGGTCAAAAGGGAAACTGAGGCAGACTTGGCCTGCATGGGCGTGGCAGCAGAAACCTCAGTACAGAGGGAAAGGAAGCCCAGCAGGGGGCTTCCGGGATGGGGGGGTCTGGGCCGGGCTTACGGGATATGACCTTTCCCCCCAGAGACCACAGAATACTAGGTAGCAAAAGGCCTGAGCTTTATTAATTCTCACCCCGCCCCAGCCCTCAAAGACGCTTCCAGGGTCACCAGGTCTCAGGGCCAGGGGGCCCGAAGCGTCGCAGAAGCTGCTCCTGGTCCTCCAAGTCCTTCCGCACCTTCTTGCGCATGTAGAAGATGGGACAGTCCCGGCTGCGGGTGGCGGCGGGGTCAGGCCAGGCCCGTGCCCAGCCCGGGGATGGGGTGGGGGCAGTGAGCACCCCTCCCTAAGCCAGGGGCTGTTCCCAGGACTTTGGCCCCTGCCTGCAGCCCACCCGCCTCCCGCGGCAGGCTGTTTGCTCAGTGGGCGCGAAGGGGGGGCCGATAACAGCGGGTACCCGGCGCGGAGCGGGCCACGCCGTATATCACCTGTCACCTGGCGTGGGAACCCGCCCCGCCTGCCCGTTCCCTGGGGAAAGCCCAGCCCCTCCCTGGGGGAGGGGGCCAGGATGGCTGGGTGTGCCATTCCCGGGCAGATAGTGGGTGCCCGGCCCTGCTGCTCTGAGCACCCACCTTTTGGGGGGCTGGGATAGGCCCACTTTGCAGGCGAGGACACTGAGGCTCAGGAGGCCCCACAGCCAGGGGGGAAGGGCGGGAGGGCACAGGAAGAGACCTGGGAGAGGGAGGCTCGGCCCAGGACCCACAGTCCGGGAGCTGGGAGGGGCGCGGCAGGCGGGGGCGGGGGGCACACACCTGGTGCAGATGACATCCTCGTGCAGGCTGCCCTGACAGCGCTGGCACTGCGTCCAGAGGCGAGAGAAGCGCTCCTCCAGGGCATTCAGGTGGGACACCTGGGGACAGCAGGGGCTGAGCAGGGCCGCAGACTCCCCGGCCCCCCTGCACCCCCTGCCCAGCCTCCCGGCCTCTCACCTCCTTCTGATACAGCTCGGACTCCCGCGGCTGGCAGAACTTGCACACGGCTCCTGGCAGGGGCGGGGCCGGGTCAGCGCGGGGGGCTGGGCTCGGCCAGGGCCTGGCCACCGGATCCCTGCCCCTTCCCTGCCCACGGCCCATCCCGGCTTCCAAAAGTCCCCGGAGGCCAGAGAACAAGGGAGCCCGTGTGTGGGGAAAACTCCCCTGGGGAAGTCCGGGGGTGGGGTCCGAGGACCCTCCTGTGGGGGTGCAGGCAAAGGGGAGCCTCCCACCCAGGGGCCCAGCACTTTGGCGCAATGCCTGCTTGTGGGGTGGGTGTGGGGCCCAGGGACAGGCGAAGACGGCTGGGGCTGGGGTCCGGGTGGCCGGCGGGCGCTCACCCTGGTGGCTGAGCACCGTGCGGCAGCCGATGCAGCAGTCGCGGCGTTTGGCGAAGGCCAGGAGGCCGCCCACCTTGCCCGTGAGCACCGTCTTGCAGCGCGTGTGGTCACCCCCTGCAGGAGGGAGGGCAGGCGGTGGGCTGGTGCCCTCCGGGACCCCCTGGAGCCCCACACCTGCCCGTCCCCGCCCTTACGCAGCAGCACGGCCTCGGCGCGGCCCTCGCCCAGGATGGGCTCGAAGATGCGCAGCAGCGGCTTGGCGAGCTGCTGCTCCAGGTAGTACTGCGTGTCGATGGGCAGGCTGTGCTCCAGCACGAACAGCGGGTCCTGCGGCCACATGATGCACGTCACCCACCAGGTGGCCGAGGACAAGGGCCCTGGGAACCACTGGTGGCAGGAGGACCACAGATAGCATGGGCAGTGTCTGGGTATGAGCGCTGCCCTGCAGGCTGTGACACGTGCCTGGGTCTGGATGGGGTCAGAGGTCATGGAGGAGTCTGTGGGCCACAGAGACTCTGTGGCTCTGTGACCCATGCTGGGGACCCTCAGGTCACCAAGGAAGGATCAGAGTTCACAGGGGGAAGCAAGGACAAGGAAGGAGTCAGGGTCAGAGGTCACAGGGCCTGAGATATGGGTCACAGGAGTCTGGGTAGGAGGGGAGCACTGTGAGCCCAGAGACGTCAGGGCTGGACAGCTGTGTGTACTGGGCAGGGACTGGGACCTCCTTTCTTTCTTTTTTTTTCTTAATTTTTTTTTTTTAGACAGAGTCTCACTTTTGTTGCCCAGGCTAGAGTGAGTGCCCTGGCGTCAGCCTAGCTCACAGCAACCTCAATCTCCTGGGCTCAAGTGATCCTCCTGCCTCAGCCTCCCGAGTAGCTGGGACTACAGGCATGCGCCACCATGCCCGGCTAATTTTTTTTTCTATATATATTAGTTGGCCAATTAATTCCTTTCTATTTATAGTAGAGACAGGGTCTCGCTCTTGCTCAGGCTGGTTTTGAACTTCTGACCTTGAGCAATCCGCCCGCCTCAGCCTCCCAGTGAGCTAGTATTACAGGGGTGAGCCACCAGGCCCAGCCATTTTTTTTTTTAGACAGAGTCTTACTCTGTTGCCCGGGCTAGAGTGAGTGCCGTGGCATCAGCCTAGCTCTCAGCAACCTCAATCTCCTGGGCTCAAGTGATCCTCCTGCCTCAGCCGCCCAAGTAGCTGGGACTACAGGCATGCGCCACCATCCCCGCCTAATTTTTTCTATATATTTTCAGTTATCCATATAATTTCTTTCTATTTTTAGTACAGATGGGGTCTTGCTCTTGCTCAGGCTGGTCTCGAACTTCTAAGCCTAAGCGATCCTCCAGCCTCGGCCTCCCTGAGTGCTAGGATTATAGGTGTGGGCCACCGCGCCTGGCCGGGGCCTCCTTTCTAAGCGGGGAGCAAAGGGATGTGAGAGTAACTCCAGAGGGCTGAGAGACTGACTCCCGGGGGAGGGCGCAGGGGGTGGTTCTCAGGCCCCGTGGGGCCCACGCCCCTCCCCGCCCGCCCATCTCGGAAAGCAGAAGTGAGAGTAGAGGGGGCTGGGAGGTGCGGGCAGCCCAGGTGGGCCTGACCTCAGACTTCATGTAGGCGGCCACGCCCTTCGCAGCACCAATGATCACGTAGGGGACGCGGTCGCCCAGGTTGGGCGCGCTCCCGGGGTCCCGCTTCCTCATCCTGCGTGGAGACAAGCGGCGGGCGGGTGAGGGCCGGTGGGGGGCGCACGGGCAGTGGTGGGCCCAGCTGGCAGGAAGGAGGGGCTACTTCTGGACGGCGCCCCGCCCACCCGCGGACCTCTCGGCCAGCTCCACGTGGGCCTGCTTGCCCGCGTAGTCGGCGGCCGCGCGGGTCAGCTCCTTGGTGATGACCAGCTGCGAGATGTCGATGCGGTTGCACAGCAGGTCCGAGATGACTTCCTGCGCGTGGGCCACAGCGCCCTCCGGGTCTCTGTGGGGCAGGTGGGCCGGACAGGCTGGTGTCACCAGTGGCCACTGAGGGCCAGGCTGGCACCTCCACTGGTTCCTGGGCCGTGGAGGGTCCTGCCCAGCCACAGGCTGCACGGTGGCAGAGGCGCGGCCTGAACCCACCGTTGTCCGAGGCGACTCCGCCCACTGCCTCCCCACTGAGGAAGTGCTGGCCTGATACCTGTGTCCCCAGGAGGGGCTGGGTAGAGGGTCCCACATACCGGTCGATGAGCAGGCGGCGCAGCGAGGCAGTGACGAGGTTGGCCACCAGGGGGCAGTTGTCCCTGCGCACGGCCTCCAGACCCTTGCAGTCCATGCGGTCGTGGGCGTCCGGCCGGGAGGAGAAGAGGAGACCCGCGTAGCGCTTCTTGCTGATGAGCAGGTAGGGGAAGTAGACCTGGGAGTGACCGGTGGCTGAGACCCTAAGACCGTGGCGTCGGGTCCCAAGTCCTGAGACTCTCTCCAGAAAACAAGGGCAGGCGGGGATGGGCCCGGAGATGCAGGCTTCGGACGCTTGAGGAGACAAGCCCCGAACCCGGCAGGATGGACCCTGCGACCCTGGCGTGCTGCTGTTAAGTGGCCCCTGAGCAGCCTCAGCACTCCAGGGCCCCCCAATCTGAAACAGGGACTGGGACCAGCCTAGAGACAGCCCCTGCAACACCACAGGCGATGTGATGAGACTCCCCCCCCAAGGCAGACGAGACCAGGCCCAGTGCAGAGCCAGGAGGCAGAGACTTCCCACACCGCAAGGCTCCAAGTCTGAGATCTGGGGCACCCAGAGATCCATGTTTGAACCATGGAGAAAAATGCACCCTGAGGACCATGCGCGGGGCACACGCCTGCAGTCCCAGCTACTCGGAGCCTGAGTCAGGAGGAGCACTCGAGCTCGGGAGTACGGGCTATGACCGCAGCTGGGAGTAGCCGCTGCCCTCCAGCCTGGGCAACACAGCGAGACCCTATCTCTTACCAAAAAAATAAATATGGCATGACATCTCCTGGGGCCAAGCCTGACACACGCTGGGAGGTGGGAGGACCGGACGAGGGTGCACAGATGCAAGATCCACCCCGGCAGGGTCCCCACTGCTGCGGGCGGCCCCCACATCTGACAGGTGCTGGGAAACCTCAAAACCACAGACTTTGTAACAGGGTTTTCAAAAAGCAGATGCTGTCCTCTGTAACAAAGCCCGAGGCCCCAAACTCAGGAGAACCCAGGCAGCGAAATACCTTGACACTGGGGCTTGTGAACCCAAAGAGTGGATACTCGGAGTACCCCAAAATGGAGACACCCTGACACCCCACAGGATCCCCAACTCAGTGCACACTCAAGCCCCGCAGGCACCTGAGGGTCAGAAGCCCCCACACTGGCAAGACCCACGTTAGTTCCGCTGAGTCCCGAGCGTGGGTGGCAGGGGCCCAAGTACCTTTTCAAACTCCAGCCGGATGGGCGATGGGAAGTGACCTGACACCCAGTCTGCGGCCTCTCGCCCCAGGGCCATCGCCTCCGCCACGGAGGACACACCAAATCGGCACATGACGGAGTCGGTGTCACCATAGACCACCTGGGGAGGGTGCGTGTGTGACGGAGGGTACCTCCTGCCAACCCCGGGGGGGGGGCAGTGCTGAGGAAGCCCAGGGATCCGGCGGGAGAGCGGGACAGGGTGAGACCAGGAGGCATGGGGACAGACGGCCTGGCATCCAGCAGTCCCCCCTGCCCCCACCCCAGCTCAGGGTAGAGTCGGAGCAGCCCTGACCTTGGCATTGGTGCGGTAGCCATTCTCCACCGTGTACTTGGTCTCGACCAGTTGCTTGGTTTTCTCGATCATCTGACGCCCGAACCCGGTGACGCTCTGTGGGGTGGAGGATCACGCAGAGTGAAGGCCCAGAGGTCATTTGCAGGGGACAGAGGCTGGAGGGGTCCCGCCTCTGCCACTTCCTTGCAGCACGGGCTTGGATGAACCACGCTGCTCACCCAGGCCTCAGCTTCCAAATCTGCAAAATGATTCTACCAGGCTGCTCTTCAGTGGTCTGTTGGAAAGAAGTGGGTTCTCTGGCCCAGAGCTCTGGGCACAGATAAGGAGTTGACGACATCAAACAAGTGTAGCCTGAAGACGCTGCTGGCTCAGTGTTTCCCTGACACTGTGATTTTCTGGGCAGCTGTTGGAGGTTCAGAACCACTGACATTCCTGGCCCCCTCCTTGAAAGCCAGCAGTGCCACCCCCATACTTGTGACATCAGAAATGACCCTACCTACACACTGACAAATACCCCTCCAGTATAGGGGGTAGTACCACACCCACTGAGAAACCATTCCTTTCTAATTGTCTTATTTTATAATTAAGGAAACTGAGGCTGGGGGGCACCAAAAAGAGATGGGTGTATTTCTTTTGTTCTTGTTTGTGTGGATCCAGTCAGAAAATCTTTGTCTTTTAACTTGAGCATTTAGTCTATTTACATTTATTGTAATTACTAATGTATTTGGGCTTAAATCTATTATCTCCCTTTTACTTGTGCTGCATATTCTGTTCCTTTTCTTTCCTTTCTTATTGTCTCTTTCTCTCTTATCTTTCTCTTATCTTTCTTTCCTTTCTTATCTTTCCTTTCTTATCTTCTCCTGGCCTGTGTTTTGCTTAGGGGCTGGAGACTGATGTCCAAACATTCATTCCTTTCCACCAAGGATTACGAAAAGCCAAATAGGAGAGCAAGGGATCCACTTTGCCCAGAGAAAGGCCCGGCCCTTGTCAGGCTCTTAGAAGGGACCTCTAAGCCCTTGGAATAGCCTGCCTGATAAAGAGTATCCCTGTTTACCTGAGACCTTGAGCCACACCAGGTAGTTTATGCTAACAACGTGGTTTATGGTGGGGTCCTTGGGCCATGTTATCAGTTGGACCTGTGGGGAGGAGGTGGCTGGAGACTGAGTAACTAATGTGAGTCACATGGGTGCTCCATGCCTACATGACATCCAGATTCCCTAGCTGGCCACTCCACGTGTGTCGTCACGCGTCAGTGCTTCCAGAAATAAGTGCTGCCTGTGTGACCCTACTGAAGAGAGGTCAACTGGAAGACACAGGCCTGGTCTTTCCTAGGCCCCACCTTCTGCACCTCTTCCCTTTGCAGATTTTAACCTCTATCCTTTTGCTATATTAAACCATTACTGTGAGTGCTTCTAGTGCTACTCAATCTGACAGCAGTCTTGGAAGCTCCAGAACTGCGGGTGGGCGGGTGTGTGCACAGGGCCCTCCTCCCAGAAGGCCTGCCCACCGGTGATTCCCCCAAGCCTTCTGTCCAGAGCCACGTGACAACTGACGCAGTGCCCTGGTAGGGAGGGAGCTTCCCATGGCTGGAGGTAACCAAGCAGAGATGTACTTGTTCTGCCAGTCTGGAATGTGCCAGGACTCAAACCCCAGGAGAGGAGACTGGACAGGAAGGCTCTCTTAGGCCAGGGGCTGAGGCACTGATTCCAGCCTGGGGGAATCTCAGAACTCAGACCCTCTGTGGTCTCACTGCGAGTCTGTGTTTCTGTCCACGCTGCCACGGGTAAGCAGGCCCAGGACGCTGCTGCGGACGGTGGGCTTCTCTGCCTACGATCCCCCTCAGAGCCGGCCACTGACCAAACACCCACTGTGGGGGTGACCGAGCACACAGAGCAATCAAGTGCCAATGACTGGCTGTGCTGTTGGGCGTGCCCCGGCCCTGCCCCGGTCCCCCTGAGCAGAGACTTGGCCCTGTTCCCTATTCCCCCATCAGTGAGAGAGGAATCTACCTCCCTCCCCCACCCTCGCAGGAACTAAGGAGGAGGTGAGCTGGGTACAGCGTGCTGGGGTGGGGGTCCGTAGGGGACCGTGTGATGGGTGACTCTGCGTGAGCATCATCGCCTCAGAGTGGCAGGTCCCACAGCCCCTGCTTTATCTGCCTGCACAGCCCTTAGCGCCCCACTTGCCCCCTAGACATGTTTACTGCTGTCCCTGTCCACGTCCACACTAGGCTATGAGCCACACAAGGACAGGAACTCTCACGGTCTTGTCACCTCTGTACCCGCAAGGTGCTGAGCAAGGCCCGACCACAGCACATGCTCGGTGTTAGCTCATAAAGCGAACGAACCAACTGCTCGGGGCCGTGTTGGCGTCCTCTCTCCAAACGGCCAGCGAGTTGGCTGCCCAGGCCCTGACCTCTGGATGCGGTTCCACCATACACAGCCCTGGTCACTTCCACAGGGGCCCGCCCGCCCCCTGCGAGCCTGCCGGGGGCCCGCGCGCTCACCTGTGAGATCTCCAGGCATGGCAACTTGCCCACCTGGGCGCCGGTGAAGCCATAGACGGAGTTGGCGCTCACCTTCAGCGCCAGCTGCCGCCCGTCCAGGACCTGCCGCCGCAGAGGGTCTGTCTCCTTGGCCAGCTCGGCCTTGGCCCTGGGAGGGGACGGGGTAAAGGCCACTCAGGCAGCGCCCCAGGTCTCAGGGGAGGACCGGAGGCTTGGGGAGGCGCCTGGGCCTGGGCACCGGTCAGGGCATCTTTCCAGAAAGCGAAGCCACACAGAGCTGGGTGAGGTGAGCACTGCACGGGGCTTCCAGCCAAGGGCGTGTGGCAGCTGCCTGGAGCAGGCAGCCCCGGGTGACCCAGAGAGGGCCGGGGACTGCTGAGAGCGTCCAGCACATCTGAGTGCTGAGCAAGGAGGGGCGTCAAGAGCTCACCTCTTCCGGGCGCTGAGCAGGTTCTCTAGGATCTGGGGCAGCAGCCCCTTCCGCACCGACGTCTTCACAAACTCGTCCCCAGTGGGCGTCTTGATGAACTGGTCCTCGGTCAGGCTGGGGTGGGAGACGGTGGCGGTGACCGCCTGGCTGCCTCTCCTCCTCCAGCCCCACCTCTGCCCTGCTGTCTGGGCCTCGGCCGTGAGCACATTCAGGCCCCTTGTGCACCCCCCTCCCCTCCCTGCTATTCCTGGGCCTGTGCCTGTCGCCCCACCAGCCTGGGAGCCCTGGAAGGTAGGGCCCAGGTCTGCCTTGGGGGACATGTGCTGACGCGGGCGCCGTACCCCAGTTTCTGGGCGGCCCCGGGCCGCAGGAGCGTGGTGTAGCACAGGTTGTGGGCCATCATGATGGACGGGTACAGTGAGGAGAAGTCCAGGGTGGCGATGGGGACGTCATAGTACCTGGGAGGGGAGGAGCCTCGAGGAATCAGGGCCGGGGCCCCCAAACACCACCCCACCCCCCGCCCTGCCCCTGCCCTGCCTCGGGGCCTCACCCTTTGAGGGGCTCAATGACAGTGGCTCCCGTGTAGTCCTCGCCGCCCTCTGACTTCACCACGGGCATCACCAGCCCCTCGCGCATGGCCTGGGAGGGGAGAGGGCGGGAATGGAGGAGTGGGCGCGGGTGGACTAGAAGGTGGGGGAAGAAAGTGCGTCCAGGACACGTGGCCTGGAGGTGGCCAGGGTGAGTGACCAAGCCCAGGGGTGGGGACGCGCCTGGCAGGGCCCCTTGGTAGGCAGTGAGTGGATGGCGCCCACTGACCTGCCGCAGCAGCTGGGACACGACCTTGACCTGCTGGCCGCGGCTGAGCAGGTAGCTGAGGGGCACGCCGGTGACCCGCGCCATCTCCACGGCGTTCACCAGCACCATGAGCCGCTCGAGCAGCCGCAGCGGCAGGTAGGCGTCCTTGAGGCAGTACACGGCCAGGCGGCGGCGGGTCTGGTCGTTCCCATTCTGTGGACAGGCACCGAAGGGTCAGGGGGAGGCCCTGGAGCTCCAGGGTGGGGACAAGGTGGCCTGGGGGGCTTGGGAGGCGGGACAAGCCAGGGCCGGATGCTAAAAGGTTAGGGAGTGAGCAAGGGTCCAGGTGGGGACAGTCAACAGGGTCAGAGGGAGGGGGAGCAGTGGGAAAGGCCAGTGTGGACTAGGGGTCAGGGCAGCAGAGCAGAGCAAGTGACGGTGACAGAGGTCAGAAAAAGGTGGGTGGCGGGTGAGGTCCCAGGCCACACAAGCAGATGAAAGAAGTCAGAGATTGGGGCACAAAGTTGAGACGAGAGGTCACAGGAGGTAAAGGTCAGGGGTCAGGGACAAGATGCAGGTCAGAAGAGAGGTCAGGAAGGCGCAGGTGGGGGCGGGCCTGGCGGGCCACCTGCAGGTCGGTGATGATGCTGTGCTGCACGTCCTCCTTCTGCTCGCCCAGGAAGTGGAAGCTCACGGCGTTGAGCGTGTAGGAGCGGAGCTTGTACTCCCGCAGCAGCACCTGCGGGACGGGCCGGGCTGGGTACGGGCCTGGGCGGTGGCCTCCCAAGGCTGGGGACCCTCCCGGCCAGACGCGGCCGTACCTGCAGCATGTCCATCTGCACGCGGCCCACCATGCTGACCACCTTGCTCTCCCGCCGGCCCATCTGCTTGGACTGGAACGATGAGTCCCGGATGTTGGAGCGGAGGCCAGCCACGCGGCCCAGGAAAGGGAATGTCTGTACCTGGGGGGTGGGACAGCCACGTGGGCAGGGAGAGGCTGCAGCGTGGGACGGGCTGGCCCCTGGCTCGGGGGCCCCAGGTCACAGGAGTGGAGGGGACTGAGAGCAACCACAACATCTCTGCAGGCGACCCAGGAGCAGGGGCAGCCCTGGATCAGACTCGCTGGGGCTGGAGGCCGGGGAGTCTGGGGGGTCCGGGGGGAGGACAAAGCTGCAGCCGGGGCTGTGATGAGGAGAGTTGGGGGGCCTGTGGGCTGGGGGCGCCAAGCATGGTGCCCAGTGGCTGTGGGCTGCACCCAGGTGGGGACCAGGAGGAGCAGATTTGGGGGATGACGCCACACTCGGCAGGGATGCGGCGAGCGGATAGGGCGGCCCAGCCGGGGACAGTAGGGGGGGGTCGGCCTGGAGTGCTGGGCTGAGGGCACCGGGGAGCACACAGGCTATCGGGCCCAGCCTGGAGGGGAGACTGAGGCAGGGAAGCTGGGCTCAGAGCAGAGCGCACGGCATGCAGAGGAGAGGGCTCCAGTGGCCCGGGTGACAATGCCAGGCAGGTGGGGGGCTTCCTCCTGGAGCTGCTGGGAATCATAAGAGTCTGTTTTGTTTTTTCCTTGCCGAACTGCCCGAATGCACACAACACATGTGCGATAGCACAATACAGCGCCCACAGATCGTGCCCTCCCCTGCGATGGGACTGATCGTGCCCTCCCCTGCGATGGGACTGATCGTGCCCTCCCCTGCGATGGGACTGATCGTGCCCTCCCCTGCGATGCTGAAGTCCAAAGCCAGCACCACAGAACGCGACTCATCTGGAAATAAGCCTTCGCCGGGATCAAGCTGAGACCACGGGGTAGGCCCTAACACAGTACGACCATGCCCTTATAAAAGGGGGAACTGGGACCCAGAGCCATGCACAGAGGGAAGATAAGGTGAAGAGACAGGGCGGAGATGGCCATCTGCCCGCCGACGGGAGGCCTGGGACAGGCCCTCAGCCCTCGAGTCACGGAGGAACCAGCCCTGCCAGCACCTGCGCCTCGGCCTTTCCAGCCCGAGAGCCATGGCACAACCAACCTCTGTCGTTCTAAGCCACATGCGTGACCTGTGGTACTTTGTAACAGCAGGGCGAGGAAACTACCCAGACTGGCCGGGCGCGGTGGCTCACGCCTGTAATCCTAGCTCTCTGGGAGGCCAAGGCGGGCAGATCCTTTGAGCTTAGGAGTCGAAACCAACCTGAGCAAGAGCGAGACCCCGTCTCTACTATAAATAGAAATTAATTGGCCAACTAATACATATAGAAAAAATTAGCCGGCACATGCCTGTAGTCCCAGCTACTTGGGAGGCTGAGGCAGGAGGATCACTTGAGCCCAGGAGTTTGAGGTTGCTGTGAGCTAGGCTGATGCCACAGCACTCACTCTAGTCTGGGCAACAAAGCGAGACTCTGTGTCAAAAAAAAAAAGAATAAGCACCTAGACCGTCACGGTCTTCAGCGAACTCCCCCTCTTCCTTATTCTTCATTATTACTATTATCGTTTCCCTTATTCTGCCTTTTTTTTTTTTTTTGAGACAGAGTCTTGCTTTGTTGCCCAGGCTAGAGTGAGTGCCGTGGAGTCAGCCTAGCTCACAACAACCTCAAACTCCTGGGCTCAAGCAATCCTCCTGCCTCAGCCTCCCTAGTAGCTGGGACTACAGGCATGCACCACCATGCCCGGCTAATTTTTTCTATATATATTGGTTGGCCAATTAATTTCTTTCTATTTATAGTAGAGACTGGGTCTCGCTCTTGCTCAGGCTGGTTTCAAACTCCTGACCTCGAGCAATCCGCCGGCCTTGGCTTCCCAGAGTGCTGGGATTGCAGGCGTGAGCCACCGCGCCCGGCCCCACTGTGAGTCTTTGCGGAGCCTCGCCACCCGCCTGCCCTCACCTTGAGGGTCTCGGCCCGAGAGATGAGGTATGGAAGGTCGAAGTTCTGGATGTTGTAGCCAGTGATCACGTCGGGGTCCATGATGCGTATGAAGCTGGACCAGGCCTGGTGGTGGGAACACACGGGGTCACCCTGCTCATCCCTCGGCCACGGACCCACTACGCTGGGAATGGCCTGGAAGCCCAGCCCCACCTCCTGCACCTCCGAAATACTGCAGGACCCAGAGGGAAATGTTCAGCCCTCAGAGCACAGGGTCCCCGCCTGGGACAGCTCGGGGTGATGGCGCTGAGGAAAATAGTGGGGGGGGGGCGGTGCAACGAGAGCCACCTGGAGCAGGTCCTCTTCCTTCTCGTAGCTCTGCACCTTGGCGCCCAGGATGGGGGCGCAGGGCCGCAGGGTGAGCGCCAGGCGCAGGAAGGGCTCCGGCTCGCCCCAGCGCAGGCCCAGAGAGCAGATCTGGATCACGGGGTCGCGCTCGGGCTCCGGAAAGATGCCTGCAGAGGGAGGGAGGAGGGGGATGCATGGGATCTGACTCCTGCCTCTCCCTACAAAACGCCAACGTGGCTGCATCTCCCTCCCTCTTCCAGCCTGTCCTCACCCTTCAGTCCCCACTGCCCATCTGTCTCCACTGCCTGCAGCAGCTACATGACTCCTCCCCCCCCAGTTCCTGCTCCACCCTCAGCGCCAGCCCTTCCCCCTCCCTCATTCCTGCCTCAGGGCCTTTGCACTTGCTGTCCCCTCTGCCCGGCCTGCTCCCCCCCCCCATCAGTGACATCCAGAGGGAGGGAGGCGCCCCAGGCCCTGCAGACAGACCTTTGCGGCCAGCACACTCGATGTCGAAGCTGAGTATGCGCAGGGGCGCGATGCGCTGCCACGGCCCTTCTGGGGGGTGGCTGACCACGTCTGACCACAGCACGTCTGCCTCCAGCTGACACAGCGTAGCCTGTGGGGACGGGCGTGTCAGGGCCAGCAGGGCCCCAGCTCCCGGCCCTGACCCAGGGAGCCCCGCACCTTCTCCTTGGCCCTCAGGACGTATTTCCCCGCCGGCAGTTCCAGCCAGTTGCAGCCCACGATGTCCGTGTCCACCATGAACCTGGGGGACGGCGGGGGCCGCAGGTCAGTGGGCAGCGGCTGAGGGGGCGGGCGGTGGGGTGGGGACAGAGGGGGACAGGGGTCTGAGAAGTGAGGCAGAGGCTGTACCGGATCTCAAAGTCGACGTTGGTCTCATAGGGTGCGAAGCTGGGGGTGCCCAGGCCCGGCACGCGCAGGCCCTGCTCCAGCAGGCGGCGGGCGGGGGCCACGAGGCGGGGCAGTGCCAGGGTGACTCGCAGAAAGGGCGAGGGGCCGTGCCCGTGGTACCCGAACATGCCTGCGGACACAGGAGGCTGAGACCGGCTCCGCGGGGCCCCACCCGCCAGGCCCCGGGACATCACTCACTTTCCCGAGAGCATAGCGCCACTGCCAGCACTGCCGGCCCTGTGAGCTCCTTGCCCCCTCGCTGGTCCCTGCCGATGGCCGCGTTCAGCTCTCGCTGCAGGTCGCTCAGGTGCTCGGGTCCAAAACCTGGTGTGAGGGGGCTGGTCAGAGGGACAGGGGCCTCTGGTGGGCAGGGGGAGGGTCTCTGGGTAGGGGGGGCACTCACCAGGGGGCGCCGGGGTGTAGAAGTAGGGGGCAAAGCCGTGGATGTGGCAGCAGACGGAGACGCCCTCATCGGTGACCCCAAAGGCACGAAGCACAGGCACGGAGCCGGGGGACGGTGGGGGCCCTCCAGGCAGGGGCCGTGCTGGGCCTGGGTCGGGAGTCACAGGATAAGGCAGGGGCCACCGGCCCAGGTTCCTTGAAGGCTGGTCTCCCAGACCCCTGGGGCTCGAAACCCACAGCCCCTGGCCTGGCTGCGGTGTTCACTGTAGGTGTCATACTCCTCCCTGGTCCCCGCTCGCACCCTTGTCCTCCTAAGCCACCACCCCACAGGGCAGCCAGACGCCGACCTCCTTCCGTTTATTACAACATCAAAAAAATTCCTGCAAAAAGTCAAATCGGCTTTTGGTGTGTATGCCCACCGTTAGGAACTTTAATGCATGCAGAGGTACAGGCAACCGCCACCAAAACTGGGGTGCAAACAGTCCCATCACCCCAAGCACCTCCCTAGAGCGGCCCTCTGTGATCGCCACCCCTGGCACCCGCTGATCTTGTTCTCTGTCACCGAGGTTTTTTGTCTTCTCAAGACTGTCCACACAAACAGAATCATCCAGAACGTAACCTTTCAAGCCTGGCTTCTTTCACTCAGCCTGGCGGCTTTGAGAGTCACCGGCATCGCTGCCTGTGTCACAGTCCGTTCCTCTTTACTGTGGGGCAGTGTCACACGCTGCAGACGAACCGCAGTTTGTTTTATCTGTTCGCCCGCTGCGGGACACCTGGGTCGTTCCCAGTTTCGGTGCTTATAAAGACAGCTGCCGTTAACACCCGCATACAAGGTTTGTTTGAACCTAAGTTGTTGTTCTGCTAGGAGTGGAATTGCCAGTCCTATGGTAAAAGTAGGTTTCAAACTCTAAGAAACCATCAGCAGGCTGTGCGTGGTGGCACACACCTGTAATCCCAGCACTTCAGGAGGCTGAGGCAGGAGGATTGCTTGAGGTCAGGAGTTCCAGACCAGCTTAGACAACACAGCAAGATTCTAACTCTACAAAAAGTAGAAAAATTGGCCAGACATGGTGGTGCATGCCTGCACTCCTAGCCACTCGGGAGGCTGAGGCAGGAGGATCGCTGAGCCCAGGAGTTCAGGGCTGGAGTGAGCTATGGTCGTGCCACTGCACTCCAGCCTGGGTGACATAGTAAGACCTTGTCTTAATATAAAAAAAAAAAAGGTTGGGCATGGTGGCTCACGCCTATAATCCTAGCACTCTGGAAGGCCGAGGCGGGCAGATCGTTTGAGCTCAGGAGTTGGAGACCAACCTGAGCAAGAGCGAGACCCCATCTCTACTAAAAAATAGAAAGAAATTAGCTGCACAACTAAAAGTATATATATATAGAGAGAAAAAACTAGCCAGGCATGGGGGCACATGCCTGTAGTCCCAGCTACTCGGGAGGCTGAGGCAGGAGGATCACTCGAGCCCAGGAGTTTGAGGTTGCTGTGAGCTAGGCTGACGCCACGGCACTCTAGCCAGGCAACAGAGCAAGACTGTTTCAAAAAAAAAACCACAACTACAAAGCTGTCCTCCAGAGTGGCCACGCCATGTCACTCTCCCACCAGCAGCGTCCGAGCGTTTCAGTTGCTCTGCGTCCTCACGGGCACTTGGTATTGTCAGTCTATCTGTCCTCTTGGGTGAACCATCTGTGCAAGTCTTTGGTCCATTTTGAACCGGGGTGTTTGTTTCCCCGCTGTGGAGATCCGCGTGGTCTTTACGTGCTCACGACACCAGCGCTCGGTCGCTGTGTGTCTTGTCTTCTCATTCTCCGCAGGGAGCCCCGTCCACAGCTGGGGTCGCTCCCACACCAAGCACTCACCAGCTCGCTTGGGACGGAAGCCTGGAGGGCTCCTCGAGGTGTTTGCCTGGGCCCTCAAGACCTCAGTGACCGCCCTGCCTTCCTCTGCACCCCTCGCCCCTACTCCCGCCACACTGGTCTCCTCCTTGCTGTTTCTTAAACATCTCAGACATGTCCCTCCTCAGGACCCTTGTCATCAGGAACCCCTCTTTCCCAGACATCCCCACGGCTCCCAGTCACCCCCTCCCAGGCCTTCCCCGACCTCCGAGATACAGTCCGGTACCCTCCACCTGCTTTACCTTCCTCCATAACCCTCACCGCCACCTGGCATTACAGGTCCTTGTTTATTCTCTTTCCTTCCAGAATGTGAGCCTAGAAGGGCAGGGACCTTCCTGCCTGCAACAGGCCCTGGCTCAACATGGATGCTTGTCAGGCACTAACTACATGGAAGAATGAATGAACGAGCGAATGGATGGATGGATGGATGTAAAAACATATGTCTCTCTTCTCTGCAACAAGCCAGCTCTTCTCACCTTCAGGCATCAGCTGGAAGATGCTCACCACCTCCAGGAAGCCTTCCTGGATCCCCACCCTTCCTCTCACAGCCCTGGTCACTGGGGTGGGACCGCCTGTGTCCATCTCCTCCTGAGGACTGTGACCACCAGAGGGGCAGAGCCCAGGGCCCCTTCCCCCACCCTGCCTCTACCCCCCAAACTCACCCACGTAATGGTCGATCTCCAACTGTTGGAAGATGAGGGGCTCTTCCTGGGGGTCCAGGGGCGGTGGGGTGGGCCGAAGCCAGCGGGGATCTACGGCTGACGGGGAGAACTGCCCTGGTGGGGAGGGAAGGAAGAGCGGCTGTGTGGAGTCATGGTCCTGCCTTAGAAATAATAACCCCTGGGACCCGATGTGCAATTATCAAAGGAGGCAGGTGGAGGTGGTGTCCCTGTCAAGCAGGAAACTCGGGAGAGAATGGGGGTCAAAGGTCAGCCCTATGCAGGACTCTTAAGTGTGCCAAATGGGGGTCATGGGTCAGACTTGTGGCTGACTCTCGTCCAGAGGCAAGACCAAGTGTGACGGGGACAGGGGCACAGCAGGGGCTCCCACTCCAAGTCCCACCATCTGCGGCCCCTTCCAGGGCCGACTGCAGCTCCTCCTCTTCCTGTTCCTGCAGCCTGTGCTCCGCCTCCATCTCCTCCATCAGCGCCAGCTCCTCCTCAAACGAAGACGGCTGGCTTGGCTCGTCCTCGTCCCAGAGGCCCCCGCGGGCCCGCTTTGGGGGCACCCCAGGCCCTGGGCCTGGCCGCCGCTTGCCATCCATCCTGCCGGGCAAGTTGGGGCTTGGTGGGAGTTCTGACCAGAGACACCCCTTTCCCTGCCTTCTCCACGGCCTCCCATGCACCCACCAGGACTGTGAGCCTTTCAATACTCCGGAGTGGCTGCAGGGTAACGCAGCTCTCCACCCCGCAGGCTAAGGGGTGGGTGGCATGTTCCAGACGCTCAACTGTTGGCCCATACAGTCACACCCCATTCTCCTTCCCACCTCCGCTTAGCCCTTTCCTCGCGTGTTCAAGCCCTACGTCCTTCTCCCTCGGCCCTCATCCCCTTCCCTGCACACCCGCCACCCTCTCTCTCCATCGGACTTGGTCCTTAGCACATCTCTTTCCTTCCCATGAACCCCTGTCCGGAACACTCGCGCCTATGCACCGCCCCCTTGCCTGGCCTTCATTCAGTGAGCAGCTGGGGGCACCAGCTTCGGGCCAGTCGCTGTGGCACGTGGCAGGGTGGGCCCTGAAACACGAGTCTGGTCAGTTTCCTTCCCAGCTCCAAACACTTCCAAGGCTCCCCATGGCCTTAAAAATCCTTTTTACTTTGAAATAATTTCAAACTCTTAGAACTTCTGTACATCCTTCCTGCAGACTGCCCCATCATCAGTACGCGGCAACATTTGCTCCACAACCTTCCAGAGCAAAGCTGCCCACCCATCTTGCACACCTGCCTGTGTCTGAACAGTTAAGTGGAGAAATCAATCTTGGATCTGAGTTTTGGTGGCCCAGACAGCAGCTTAGTCTGGGCCTTAACAAATACCTGCACTGAAGAACTCTGACCTGACACGTTTCCCCAAATGTTCAGACATGCTATACCATGAATACTACTCAATATCAAAAAGGAGTCAGCTACAGATACACACCCAACATGGATGAATCTCAAAAACAAGCTGTACAAAAGAGGCCAGACACAAAAAAGTATACATTAGGGGAATGGAGAGTGACTGCTTAATGAGGATGGGGTTTTCTTTTTGGGGTGATGGAATATTTTGGAACTAGATAGAGGTGATGGTTACATAATATTATGAATGTACCAAATGCCACTGAATTGTTTGCTTTAAAATGGTTAATTTCATCTTGGTAAAAAAAAACAACAACAACAACAACAGTATGCATTGTATGATGCCATTTACACAAAGTTGTACAACTGACAAAACTCATCTGTGGTGCTAGAAGTTGGATTAGTGGCTGCTTCTGGGACGGGAGCAACTGAGTGAGAAGGGGCAGGAGGGAGGACTGCACACCTGGCGCCTGCGTATTACATTAAATGTAAGTTACACCTCAATTAAAAACATAAAACTTTGGAGGTTGTGATTCTACATCTAAGGATTCATGCTACAGATATGCTATCACACATGAAAAACTGTGTTTACGAGGTTATTTCCGGCAGCATTGTTTGAAATCCCAAAAGACTGGAAACCACCTAAATGTCCTCCCCTAGGGGATTGTTCAAATACGTTAAGGCCGTTCAATGGAATATTATGCAGCTGTATAAAGGAATGAGGAAGCTCTTTGTGTGCTGATATGGAAGGCTCTCAAGAGAGGCATTGTTTAGTAACAAAAGCAAGGTGCAGAATGGTACACTGAGAATTTTATCATTTGTGTTGGAAAAAAAAAAAAAAAACATGTCTAAGAAAACATTTACCCTGATTCTAGTCACTAGGAAACAGTCAAACAAATCCAAAGTGAAGGGTGACAACTTCTGGTCTAGAATCTTTAAAGCTGTTGATGGCATGAAAGAAAAAGAAAGGCCAGGCGCAGTAGCTCACGCCTGTAATCCTAGCACTCTAGGAGGCCGAGGCAGGCAGATTATTTGAGCTCAGGAGTTCGAGACCAGACTAAGCAAGAGCGAGACCCCCATCTCTACTAAAATAGAAAGAAATTAGCTGAACAACTAAAAATATACACAGAAAAAATTAGCCAGGCATGATGGCACATGACTGTAGTCCCAACTGCTTGGGAGGCTGAGGCAGGAGGATCGCTTGAGCCCAGGAGTTTGAGGTTGCTGTGAGCTAGGCTGACACCATGGCACTCTAGCCTGGGCAACAAAGTGAGACTCTGTCTCAAAAAAAAATGAAAGAAAAAGAAAAAGTCATCATAACTAAATGTGTATGATCCTAGACTGGAACTTGGATTAAAAAAAACAAAATCAGCTCTGAAGAATATTACAGGGAGAACCAGGCAGAGCTAAATAAGGATTGTCTATTTGATAATAGTATTATCTCACCTTAAATTGCTTGATTATGATAATTATATACTTTATGTAGGCAGATGTCTTGTTCTTAAGAAATACCTGCTGGAGTTTTTGGAGGTGAAGTATCAATGATGACCACAACTTTCAAATAGTTCAGCCAATAAAGGGGAAAAAAAAGGTGCATGTGTATGTGTGCTTAGATGAAACAAATGAAGTGTCATGCTAATGACCAGTAAATCTCGGCAAAGGTATGTGGCAGTTCACTGTGCTTGTAACTTCTCTGCAGGTTTGAAACTTTTCAACATAAGTTGAGGGGAAATACATAAAATAAAATTAGTAACATTTTTACAAGGTGGGTGGGAGAATATGTATAAATATATTTGCCTTGGGCCAGGCGTGGTGGCTCACGCCTGTAATCCTAGCACTCTGGGAGGCGACGGGCGATTGCCTCAAGGTCAGGAGTTCGAAACCAGCCTGAACGAGACCCCGTCTCCTACCAAAAATAGAAATAAATTAATTGACCAACTAAAATAATAGTACAAAAAATTAGCCGGGCATGGTGGCACATGCCTGCTAGTCCCAGTACTCGGGAGGCTGAGGCAGTAGGATCGCTGGCCCCGGAGATAGAGGTTGCTGTGAGCCAGGCGTGATGCCACGCAACTGACTCAAGCCTGGGCAACACAAGTGAGACTCTGTCCAAAAAAAATATAAATATAATAAATATATATATATATACTATATATTATATATATGTATATATTTGCCTTTTTTTTTCTAGGAGAGGTAAGAAACTGGTGACACTGGTTTCCGGGGGTACAGGTGGGAAGACTTCATTTGGTCACAGCTTTATTGAGATATAATTCACATACTACACAATTCACCCATTTAAGGTATATATATATAGTTCAATGATTTTTAGTGTATGCAGAGTTACGCAACCAGCACAATTAATTTTAGAACTCTTTCATCACCCCAAAAAGAAAGCCCATATCCTTTAGCTATCACCCCCCCCCCATTCAGCCCATCTGCCCCTCACCCCTGGCAACCACTTATCTTACTTCCTGTCTCCATGGATTTGCCTATTCTGGGCCTTTCCTATAAATGGGATCTTAGAATATGTGGCCTTTTTGTGTCTGGCTTCTTTCACTTAATGTGTTCAGGGTTCGTTGTGCTGTAGCATGTATCTGTGCTTCATTCCTTTTTAGGCCTGAATTTTTTTTTTTTGAGACAGAGTCTCCCTTGTGCCCCTAGCTAGAATGCAGTGACCTCATCATAGTCCACAGCAACCTCAAACACCTGGGCTCAAGCAATCCTCCTGCCTTAGCCTCCAAGTAGTTGGGACTACAGGCGTGTGCCACTGCACCTGGCTAATTTTTTTTCTATTTTTAGTAGAGACAGGGTCTCGCTCTTCCTCAGGCTCATCTCAAACTCCTGATCTCAAAGTGATCCTTCCGCCTAGGCCTCCCAGAGAGCTAGCATTGCAGGTGTGAGCCACCGCGCCTGGCTTATGCCTATTTTTTCATTTATGGCTAGGATACATTTTGTTTATACATCCACCAGCTGATGAGCATCGGAGCTGTTTCCACCTTTTGGCTATCATGAACAGTGCTGCTCTGAACACATGCGCACAAGGAAGACTTAACTGCCTCTCCTCCCGTGCCTTTTGGATGCGAACCACATAATGCATGACTTATCCCACAGGACGAAAGAGGTTCAGTGGCCCATGCTCCAGCCGTGCAGATAGCCAGAGAGACACGGGGAGTTGCAACCTTGGGGAGAGACCCTGGCAGGGCAGAGGAAGCTGAGGGGCTTATAGGAGCCCAGAGTCATTGCCAGACCTGGCTTGGAGTGAGGGAGGCAGGAAGGGGGCCGACTGTTGCCCTTGGTCACTTGGCTGTAGTGACAGTGTGTGGGGGGGTGTCACTGGGAGCACAATCCAGACTCCTACCTCAGGACCTTTGCAAGGGCTTGCTCACAGCCCTGATGCTCTTCCCCAGCTGTCCCTGTGGCTCCCTCCCACCCCTCCTCAGGTCTTTGCTCAAATGCCACTTTCTCAGTGAGGCCTGTTTAAAAGTACAGCACCACTGCCCCTTCTGGGCGCTCGCTAACCCCATTTCCTGCTTTATTTTTTTTTGATGGCACTTAACCCTGTCTGGTGCACTGTATTCGTTCTCACAGCTCTCAAAGTGTGGTCCTCTAGAGGTGAAGCCCGACAATCGCTGTTGGAGAAAGACCTGGAAGGTTCTAGTGCCACTCAAGTCTGAGAACCAGTGCTTGTTAATCTTGTTTGCTGTCTGTCCCACTACTAGAATGGGAGCTTCACGAGAGCAGGGTTTTGTCTTCTGTTTCCTGCTATATCTCGTGCCCCTAGGAGAACTCCTGGAAAAGAGTAGGTACTCATAACACATTTTTTGAATGAAGAATGAATACAGGGACTCAAGGAACGCTCACACCACTCTCCGAGGTCGGTGCTGCTACTACCTCATTTTATAATGGCTGTAACTGAGGCCCAGAGAGGTGAAGCTACCTGTCCAAGGTGGCACAGCTAGCCCAATGGCACAGAGCCAGGTTCAAACTCAGGCAGACTGGCTCCAGAGCCACTGTTAAGTGGCGCACCATACTGCCGGCCTCTGTGGGCCAGGCCTGTGACAGGGGAGACACAGCAATGACCTGCCCTTTGCCCAGTGGGGGAGACAGCCTGGAAGATGGATCGTCTCCTGTTCGCAGCTGTGTCCTGGCTCACACACATCTGCTAGGAGATGATTAAATGGTTACAAATGTGACTATTCACTTTTGCCCCAAGAAAACATCCTCACACTTTGGCCTTGTCCCTCCCCTGGCCTTTCTGACTGCTGATGTCCTTGGACTGTGTGGGTGTGTGTCTGCCTCGCTCACCAGCCAGGGACCTCTGGAAGGCAGAGCAAGGCCTGTCTCTTCTCTGGGTCCCCAGCATCACCCAGCAGGGTGCCTGGCCACTTCAAGGCATGTGAGTTTAAACTCCCTCCAGGTAGCACCAACTCTGGCGCATCCGCCCTGAGCCCCAGGTTCTTCTCTCAGCTCTAAAGACTAGTGCTGCCTCTCATAGCTCACAGCACCTGGATCCAAAGCTCCTGTGCTTTCCTCAACCAAACTGGATCAACACTGGCTCCCCAGGGCCCAGCAAAAAGGGCTGCCTGCCACAAGAGCAACTTAAGAGAAGGAAGAGCATTTCAGGAGGAGGGGAAGCCATGGCGAAGGCCTTGAGTAGGGAAGGAACCTCTCTAAGGTTCCCTTAAAGAGAACTGGGTGGGGGAAGTGCAGGAAGGAGGAGGAGAGACAAGGGACAACAGGTTCCCAGAGTAGGCAGGACTGAGCCTGAGGCACTGACATCACCCTGTCCCCTCCTGTGCTCCCCTCTAAACCCTGCCTGTTCATTCCCCCATGTAAGCTCTGCCTTCAGTGCCGCCCCCAAACCTGCTTCTTCCTCACCTTTCCACATCTGGCCTGTTGCTCAAACCACAAACCCAGGAGTCTTCCTGGGCTCCTCTTCCCCTCACCCGCAGGCCCAGTCTGCCAGCCAGTCCTGCTGGTCCCAGCCCCAAAGACAGCCTGAGCCTGATGGATTCTCTCCACCTGCACAGCGCAGGCAGAGCCACCCACCGCCGACTCTCGCCTCCTAACTGGTCTCCCTCCTTCCATTCCTACTCCTGCTGCAATCCAATCTCCCCTCAGCAGCCAGTGAGATTTTCAAAATACTGGGCAGATCACATTGCTCCCATGCTCAAACCCTCCCAGGCTCTCTGAACCCAGAATAAAGGCCAAATCCCACACCAAGGTTTACAAGGCCCTATGGGATCTGGTCCCCCACCAGGACTCTGACTTCATCTGCATTTCTCTCTTGTCCCCTTGGTTCTAGTTACAAATATGCCAAGTTCCTTCCTACCTCAGGGCCTTTGCACTTGAGGGTCCCTCTGCCCAGATCTTTCCTTACAGGGCTGACTTCCCCTGTAAGGGGCATCAGGGCATCACTTCCCCAGGGAGGCCGATTCCTGATCTCTCCAGCCAAAGAAGCAGGCTGCCCCTTGGTCATGATCACGTTACCCTGTCTTACTTCGCTTCGGACAACATATCACAGCCTGAGAGCATTGCTTTAGTATTACCATTACTTATTACTCGTCTTTCTCGGTCTTCCCCTGGGGCTGGGACCCTCTCTGACTTGTTCCTGCTGCAGTTCCTGTTTCTACAACAGTGCCAGTCACAGACTGATCAACAAGTATCTAGCGAATAAACGGTGACACCAAGCGGCACGTGCACCATTCAGTCCCGCAAGGCCTCCCAGGCCCCGTCGCGCCCCGGAGTGCCCGCGCCCAGGCATGCGCCCCCTGCCCGCCGAGGAGGCCCCGGGCCCGTCATTCCCCGCGTGTCTCCCGCGCACTCGCCCGGAGACCCCTGGCGCGGCCCCTCTTCTGCGCGCCCCCGGGCCCAGGGGATCCCGGCTGCCGCCACGGCCTCGCGACCCTCGCAACCCTCTCTCAGGCCTACGTGCCCGTCTCCTCAAGGCCCCTTCCCCGACCGGCCGAATCCCCCCAGTCCCCCTTCCTCCTCTACTCACCCGCTTCAAAACAGCGTTTCCCGCCACACGCTACGCCGCCGTGACCCCTGACTCCGGCGCGCGCAAGCCCAGTGCCGCCGCGCGCCGGGCCGGGCCACGCCCCCTGCCGCCCAAGTGCAGGCGAGGCCACGCCCCAACCCGGCCGCAGGCCACGCCCCGTTCGGGCAACAGGCTGGGCGGCCACGCCCCCTGCGCTCAATTTGGGAAGTGGCGTCTCTCCCGAGCTGATAACTTATCACTAACCCCGCCTCCTCGTGACGTACATGGCCAAGGCCACGCCCCTCCTCGTAGCGGCGTTCGGCGCCTCGCTTGCCCCGCGCGCAGCGGGCCTGGCCTCCCGCCCTGGGCGCTGCGCTCGCACCCGCCGCCTCCTTCCCCGGTGTGCGCCCCGAAGACCACCTGAGCGCCGCCCACCAGTTGGCCGGTGGACCGACGCCCGGCCTCCCGGCAGAGGCTGGCCGACACCTGGTCGGGCCCTGCTCTGATTTGTTATCCTGTCTCCTCAGTTTCTCCATCTGTAAACTAGACTCAGCGCACGGGGGACGGACACCTGTGGGGCATCCAGTACTCTACTTGGAATAGGATGACCGTTTTTTTAACTTCTCATTTCCGCCATCCTAACCCCCGCCCCAAATAATTTACCTTTCAGTACCCAGCCCATCCCTCCGCGCAACACCCTCTTCGCCCTTGACCCTGCTGTCCATCGGACTCGTTTATGCATCATCCATCAGGGCCTGGCCTGGGGGAGGAGGAGCTGGAAGAACTTCGTGACTTCCCCTACTCTGAACTCACCAGGACCTCTCACCTTCTAGGGTTAGCATGGAGGTCCCGCAACATGGAGACCCAGCACTCCTTGGCTTTTCTGTTTTAGGTCCCAGCAAAGACATCTCCTTTGTGACAGCTTGCCTCACTTCCTCTGGCTCTCTCACTGCCTGTGCTGCCATTAAAGCCCCGTTCCCTTCTGCTCTGTCCCCATGTATTCCCCCATGTCTGGTAGGAAGGTCTTTATCTCGATGACTGATGCTTTCAGTGCCCAAAATTGTTTGACGTAGTAAATGCGGCAGGTACATTCGTTGGATGCATGACGTCTGCCTCTGAACGGCCAACAATGCCTCCCGCAAGAGGCCTCGGCAGACACTTGTTGACTGGACAAAATGCCACACAAATCCTGTTTATCCTTGAAGAGCAGGTTCTGATTCACCTCGTCTAGGGAGGTGACCCTGTCGGGTCCCTGTCCTGGACCCCCACAGCAGCCAGAGCACAGGACCATCCGGGCCACCCCCCACCAGCCTCGGAAGGCCCCAAGTCGCACCTACTGAATCAGGTTCAGGGCCATGTCAATGAAGACCATCCCCTCTCCATTTCTTGCACTTTGGCTCAGGGTCAGCTTGTATTCATATTTTATTTTCCTGTTTTTGTTTTGTTTTTAGTTTTTATTAAATAAAAGGAGCAGAGGAAGAGGAGGACCTATGGTCTCTCAGGCTGTGGGGGAGAGCCATGGGCCCTCCCCTCCCTCTGTTCAAGGTGCATTGCATGGTTGGCTTGAGGTGTAAGCTGGGTGAGGAGAGTTGCTGGGAAGGGCCAAAGGTCAGGACCTGTGACCCCTTCCACACCTTCTGGAAGACTCCTTGGGTAGGGAGGAAGCCTTGTGGGCCCTGACTGGGGCTCATCCCAGGGCTGAGGACTGGCAAGGCCAGGAGCAAGGTGGGACTGCAGGCCTGGCCTGGGGTCCCTTGCCACCCAGGAGGAAGGGGGGTGACAGCGTCATTTGTTAGAGGGTATTCAGGCAAGGCTGTGGAGCTGGATGGCCAGCCCCTCACTCGTGGACGTCCCAGATCTCAGATAGCAGAGGTGGCAGTTTCTTGTCCTGGAGCCGCAGGGCAAAGACCTGCTCCGAGTGGACAGAACTCAATGTGCGCAGGCTCACGAGCTTCATCAGCATGCGTGGGAAGCGCAGCTGGTCCTGCGGGTGGACAGGAGGGAGGTGGGCGCTGGCCGAGCCCCTGTCCTGCAAGCCCCTGGTCAGCCCACCTGAACTGAAAGGAGGGCCTCCCTCCCCAGGCGGACTGGCAGAGTTGGCACAGGGAGCATCTGGGCAGGGAGGGGGCCTGCCCGGGTGCCTGCGCTCGGCCTGACTCCTCAGGACAGACCCAGCCTAAGACTGACACACGTGGGCCTGGACACCCTGACGCTACCCGGGCCTCAGGACTGGGTCTGCTTTGCCCAGAGGGCTGCAAAGGCTGTGGCAGGAGCAGCCAGGCTCTGGGTGGCTCAGGCCCCGGTACCTGCGGCCTTTTGATGCGCGTGTAGGAGAGCAGCGCCTCCACGTAGGGCTGCTGCAGGGCCTCGACGCGGCTTGGCTCCTGCACGTTGGGCCGGTCTGCTGAGAAGATGTTGATGGCGATGAGGAGTGCGTACTCGGCGTCATCCAGGCCCAGCCGCCGCATGGCTCTGGAGAACTCGAAGATGGGGTTGATGAACTCCACCTGCAGGCCTGCAGGGCGAGGCAGCCATGACTCCCTGGGCTGAAACCTGCCCAAGCCCTGGCCCCTGGCCCCACCCACAGTCAGTGGGGTGAGGAAAAGAGCAGTAATTACAGCATTCTCATCATTTCTGCTCACCTCTGGGCCCAGTGCCTGTGAGAATGCCTGGCACGCAGTAGGTGTGCCACAAGCCTTGCCTAAGTGACTGAACGCATAACGAGGGCCAACATCTATGCAGTGTTGTCTATCCTATCACCACCCTCACTGCCTGCCTGGGTGGTGGCTGCAGCTCCTCCCTAGTTTCCCAGGATCCATCCTTGTCATGATGGCCGAGAAAACTTGTTAAAAGCTAGCTCACGTCGTGTCAGTCCCTGTGATGGCTTCCACTGCTTCTGAGGTAAAGCTCAAACTCATTCCCAAGACTGCCTCTTTCATTCATTCAGCAAACTTTACTGAGCACCTACTATGTGCCAGGCCCAAGGCAGAGCTGTTCAGAAGACAAAGTCCCTGCTCTTACAGAACTTACATTCGAGGGTCGAGGGGCCGGATGACAAACACATCAGTAAAATACCCAGCCTGTCAGATGGTGATGAGTTCTATGGAGCAAGATAACGCAGGGAAGGGTATTCTAGATTGCCGAGAATCATGTTCACACTTTACACAAGGTGGGCAGGGAAGCCCTCGCTGTAGGGTGACATCTGAGCAACGACCAACCCGAAGGAAGGGAGTGATGGAGTTACAAGGCTCCGTGAATGTTCCGAATAGGGTGACAACCATCTGTTCTGCCTGGGACTGGACTGGGGTGGACTCCTGGGCCACAAGACTTTCAGTGGTAAAGCTGGGAGGGTCCTGGGCAAACCAGGACCAGTCGGTCACCCTGGTTCTGGGCAGAGGGACCAGCAAGTACAAAGGCCCTCTGGCTGAAGCAAGCTTGGCAGGTTGAGATAAGAGCCAAGAGGCCAGTGTGGCTTCGGGAGGGTGAATAAGGAGGAGAGGACAAGAGCTGGGGGTACAGAGGGAACAAGGAACAGACCCTAAAGGGCTCTGTGGGCCACAGGGAGGACTTTGGCTCTCGCAGGATGGAAGCTGGGGAGGGTCTGAGCAGAGGAGGGATGTGAGCTGACTTGGGTGCCGAGCTGGCAGAATCCTTCTGACTACCATGTGAGCACACATCAGGCAGAGGGGGAGGCAGGAAGCTCAGTGAGGGGCCCTGTAATGTCCCAGTGAGAGATGACTGAAGCCTGGCTTGGGGCAGTTGCAAAGGATGGGTGGGAAGTGGTGGGATTTCTGACCTCCTCTCCAGTCCCATCTCCCTGTGCTCTGGCTGCTTGGACTTCCTTGTAGTTCCTCAAAACCCTCTGGCTTTCCCTCTACCTCAGGGCCTTTGCACATGCTGGTATCCCTACCAGAAACTCTCTTCCCTCCAGTCCTGCCCTGCTAAGGTCACACTAAAAAGGTTACTGGGGCCATTATGGGTGGTGGGAGGGCAAAGATTACAGGAAGGGAAGACGACCAGTGGATGTCTGGGATACAGAGAGGGAAATGGTGGGAGAGGGTGGGACTTACTGAGAAAGCCCGAAGGATGGGGGAGCCAGGCCTTTCTGCATGCTCTATGGTGGGTCCCCACCCCCTTTTCATTGGTGATGCATCTTACCCACTCCCTAGGGCTCACCGTCACCTGTACTTCTTACAGAAGGCCAGGTGACATCCCCAGGTAAGTACTCTTGGAAGGCAGGAGGCAGTGCTGCCATATACAGCTGGGCGGGTTGTACACTTGCCCAATGAAATGAGATCCAGCCTGCCTCACTCCGGTGGGGACAGGTTGGGTGGCAGGGGGTGGGGGTGCTTCTTCCTAACTCATCTGCCCGATGTGACAGCAGAGACCCCCGCTACGTCCTCTGTACAGAGCTGGTGCTGAATAAATGTACTCTTATTCTTGCTCTCAGGTTGGTTCAACCCTCACCCCCACTTTGGAGATAAAGAAACAGAAGATCAGACAGGGATGACATGGCCTGAGGCCTCCCAGCCAGCCAGGGCGCCAACCCTCGCCCTGACCCCCGAGCCCGCCCTTGCCCCTACCTGCACGGTGGAAGTCGTCCTTGCTGTAGGTGAAGTCCTTCAGGAAGGTGATACACTCTGTCTCGTGGTTGTAGCGTCTGGCCGTCTCCAGCAGCATGATCTGAAGGATGCAGGTGGAAGGGGCTTGAGGGGGACCCCCAAGACCCTTGCTGCTAGTCCCTCCCCGCCTGGCCCCAATGGGGGTCTGATCTCACCAGGATCAGCCTGCCCCACGCCCTGTTCCCTCAGCCACAGTGCAGTCAGCACGTTGGCCATGCCAAGCTCTTCCTCCCACCGCCTTCGGCACACGCTGCCCACTCCCCAGCTTTAGGGCACTCTTTCCCCAAAGGGTTACAAGGCACGAGGGCAAGGAGTTTTATCTGCTTTGTTGTCCACTGTATACTAGCACTTGGAATGGAGTCTGGCATACAGTAGGTACTCAACATGTTATTTCTTATCCTTGATTCAAATGTCAACTCTTCTGAAAAGGCTTTTTGGCACCTTTTCTCTAAAGTGGCCCCTCGAGGCCAAACCTCAATTGCTCTCAGCCTCAGCCCCTTTTCCCTTTCTCTCCTTGGCTCATGGGAGGCTCTGACTATCTAAGTTTAGTGTTTAGACATTCCTCTGAGGAATGTTATCCCCATGAGGGTGAGGACTGGTCCTGCTCATCGCTCTGTTGCCAGCATCTGTCCTGGAGCTATCTCGGGGGTCCTTTGTGGGATGAAGGGAAGGGGCTTGCTGAGGACAGGCAGCCGGGCCATTACCTCAATGGTGGACGCCTTCAGGAGGGCGATCTGGTCCTCTCGGCCCAGCTGCAGGAAGCCAGGCACCTGCTTGGCAAAGTCCACGATCTCCTGGACTGAGATGATGGCCAGCTCCGTGAAGTGGGCAAACCGTTGCTGGCGGGCATCTCGGGACTGGGGGTCAGCGCCTAGGGGCCATGGCTGGGACACAGGAGACTAGGGTCACTCCCAAAACTCCACATGTGACCCCAAGTCCACAGGAGCACCTTGAGGCAAAGCCTGCAGCCTGGGAGAGGGACCTCTTCCAAAGCCACTGCCTTCTATGCCTCATTCCCTCCCACACCCAGGGCCATGGCCGGGCCAGCTCTATCCTGTCACCCCTCAAGGGTGTGGAAGGGACAGTACCGTGACTTTGGGCTGGTCAGAGAAGGAGCGTTTGTTGCACTGCAGCTGGGCTGCCACTAACTGCTGGATCATTAGTTCCTGAGCCGCCGTTAACTGGACACTCTCGCCTTCCCCGGAGCCCTGGCCACCTGCCTCGGATCCTCCAGGGCAAGCCCCAGGCCCAGAGGCTGAGCTGCTGCTGCCCCCTGGCCCCACAGGTGACTGCAAGGACTGTTGCTGCTGCTGCTGCTGCTTCAGAATCTTCTTCTTCCGGATCTGTTCTTCAGAGAGGACGCCTGTCATGGGGACACAGGCCTCAGTGGAGGCCTGGGCTGGCCAGGAGCCGGGCTGGCACCACCCTGTCCCCCAGCACTCACACTGCTCCCTCATCCCTGCCTCCTTGCACTTGCGCAGCCGGCACAGCTGGCACTTGCGCCGCATGAAAGCGTCCATCTGGCAGGTTCCACCGCCCCGGCAGGCGTAACGCTCAGCCCCGCCGCGGACCACACTGCGCCGGAAGAAGCCCTTGCAACCTTCACAGCTGAGCACGTTGTAGTGGAAGCCCGAGGCCTTGTCCCCGCACACACGGCAAAGCTCGTCACCCAGCATCTTCGGGGCTGGGCCCCTCTTTCGCTTGCGCTCTGGCTCCTCATCCGGGTCTAGGATGACTGGGGTGGTACACAGAGGCCATGAGAGCGAGCCACAGAGGAACAACAGCCAGAGGGACAGACCCACGAGAGGTCCCGAGGCAGAGGATGGAGGAAATGCTCACACCCAGGGAGATCGTAATTCAGAGAGAAATGTATAAATGTCAGTAGATTCCAAAGAACGAACAAAGTTAAGAGGTATCAAGGAGAAATGAAGGAAAAGAATCAACAAGAAAAGGGGTCTCCTGTGTCCCCATCCCCATTTCTTTCTCCCTTCCTAAATTCCTCTCCAAGCCCCACACATCAACTCCCTGACCCCTGACCCTGGGCCCCGTCTCACCCACGATGTAGGCTGAGCCAGACTCATCAGTGCCTGGAACATCAGGGTCTGAACCCCCAGGCCACGGTTCAGGACCCTCCTCCTTAACAGTGGGTGAAGAAGAGGGGGCGCCAGGCTGAGGGGGGCCATTTTCTGGGAGAGGGAGGCAAACAAGAGGGGTACAGTGAGCTTCTCTTGCCAGTGTGTGATAAAGGCTGGGTAGGGAAGAGGGTCACTCACCAGGCAGGGGGGTGTCCAGGGAACTCATGGTGGGGGAGGACATGGTAGGGTCACAGAGCAACCTGCAGAATACAGGAAATTGAGAGCTTTGTGGGGCTAGGAAGGATTTGGTCAGGCCAGTTACAGGTTCTCGTGGGGGTGCCCTGCTTTCTTCCATGTCTCCCAGATTCTTTATTATTGCACAGAGACCCCAGCCCGGGTCCCAACCCAGTCCTCCTACAAACCCTCCTTACCCTTCTAACAGGGCCCGCCCCCTTCTGCTCCGGGCTAGCCTACAGGTTAGTCTTAAGCCCCGCCCCTCCTCCAGGACCCGCCCCCTCCAGGACCCATCCACCAGCTCTCTTCTGGTACAGCCACTTCTCCTCTAATCACACTCTGCCCTCCCGTCCTCCTCCCAACGAGTTTCACGCCCCCTACTCTAAAACTTCACCTCGGCTAGAGGAAGCGCCCCTATTTCTCATTCTGACCCCGCCTCCTCCAGTTATGCTCCACCTCCCCTCATTTTCTCCTTGGTCCCGCCCCATCCCTTCAGGTCCTTTCTCCACTGCCCCCATCAGTGCCCCCCAACCAACACCTTGCCTCGCCCCATCTGCACCCCTCTCTCCAAGCCTCGCCCCCATAATCTCGCTCCAGGTCCCACCCCATCTCCTCCCTCAAGCTCCGCCCCCACACCTCGCTCCAGGTCCCGCCCCTCTCCGAGCACCAGTGGGGGGCGGGGCTCATGGCTGCGCGCGGGGGTCTCGTGGGCAGCCTCTCGCGGGGTCTCCTACTCCCGTTGCCCTGGAAACAGCCGGGGGAGTCGCGAGCTACGGAAAGGAGGGAATGGGAGAAGAAGAGTGGGCTCAGTGGAGAACGACGAGAAGCCCTGGGTTCGGCCGCCTGCGTCTCCCCACTCTCGGGCGCACCTGCCTCCGTCCCCTCACTCTGTTTCTCTTCCTCCTCCTCTGTAGCCCCTGACACGCCGCCGCTACTCGAGTCCCCTCAAAAGTAACTTCGCCACTTCTTCCGGCAACCCCGCGCATGCGTCACATCCGGAATGGGGCGGGGAGTGCAAGTTGGCAGACTTCCGGCCCACTTAGCACCCCTGAATCCGCTGCCCCGCTCGAAAGTAATGAGCTCACCGGAAGACCACTTTACCGGGTAGATCCACTGGGGCTCGACAGAAGAGTTCCGGACTCATTTAATCAAAAGTTGGCCTGGACCCGAGCGAGCGTGGCCGGTCCCGAACATTCCAGCCCGGTGCTTTGTGGCTTTAGCCCATTCATGTGCTTCTGTGGGCCCGCGGCCAAAGATTTAATCGACATAAATCTCTCCTGCTATAACTGCTTTTTGTACATGGCTGATTTTAAAGCATGGTTGCCCTTTTTGAGTTGTTAGAAAATTTCTGATTGTGGAGGCGCATTTGTTCGGTTTAAATAAGTTAAATTACAAACCTGGATCCAGAAAATAATATTTTTAAAAACATAACGTGGTCATTGGAAGAATTTAAAAAGTCTAGTCATTCCTACCAAAAAGGTAGAAATAATAACTTTTCAAGAAAAATCAGAATACTTGAACAGGTAAAAGATGAAAATTGTTCCAAGGCCTTTCCCCTCGAGGACAGTCACGTTAGTTTACGGAGCATTTACGGAGGCTTATTTTTTTTTAATTTATTTTAACGGGAATATGTGATCCATATGCCCCTGTAACTTGTTCTGTCCACTCGGCCCCAGCCTTTGAAGCTGTGGAATTTTCCACCCAAGGATGTTAGAGGTAAAGGGAGTGGTTAGTTAACGTGAGCATTAAGGGCTGTCAGAACCTGATGTCTGTGACACTTCCTGGCTGTGTGATGCTGAGCCAAGTTACTTAACGTCGCTGTGCCTCAGTTTCCCTGTCTGCAAACTGGGAACAAGAGTGTTGACCTCGCTGCATTGTCCTTATGATTAAATGAGGTAAAAGAGCATGAACAGGGCTGGGCTCAAATGAGGAGCCTGATATGTTTGCGGTATATTTATTCTCGTGGATGTTAAAGTTGTTTCTAACTTTCCACTCTTAGAAAAGTGCAAATCCTGAAATAAGGCTACCAGTTGGCCTACCTGTAAAAGAAAGGAAATTAATTCTTATTTTTTTTTATGAAAGATGTGAGGATTCAGGAAGTGCAGTGCCTAGCATATAGTAGCATTCAGTCAGTGCCAATTTCATTATCTGAACCTAGTTGTGGACCAATGTTTTCATTTGTAACTGATACAACATCCCCTAGGTTGTTGTTTTTTTTAATTTTATTTCAGAATCTTACGGAGGTACAAACATTTTGGTTACATAAATTTCTTTCGTACCATTTGAGTCAAAGTTTTGAGTGTGCCCTAGTGTATTTTGTGACAGCTCCATTGAGATAGAATTCACACACAATACAATTCGCCCACTTAAAGTATAATTCAGTGGTTTTTAGTATATTCACAGTTGTGCAACCATCATCATAATCAAATTTAGAACATCTTTGTCACACCACCAGAAACCCCATACCCATTAGCAGTTACCACCTATTCTCCCATCCCTCCCTAGCCCTAGGCAACCATCAATCTACCTTTGCCTGTATGAAATTTGCCTATTCTCAGGATTTCCTATAAATGGAATAAAAGAATATGTGATTTTTTGTACGTGGTACCTTCCACTTGGCATAATGTCTTCCAGGTTCATCTATGTTGTAGCCTGTATCGGTATTTCTGTTTATGGCTGAATAATATTCCATTGAATAGATATACCACATTTTATTAATCCATTTAACAGTTGATGGACATTTAGGACGTTTCTATTCTTCCCTTTAATGCTGCTATGAACATTCATGTACAAATTTTTGTGGAGACATTTGTTTTCATTTTTCTTGGGTATATACCTTGGAGTGGTATTGCTGTGTGATATGGTAACTCTATGTTTCACCTCTTGAGTAACTGCTAGACTGCATACATCATTTTATCTTCCCACAGGCAGTATATGATGGCTTCAATATCTCTACATTCGTACCAATATTTGTTATTCATTTTTTTCTTTTTTTGTTTTTGTTTTTGGTTTTCTTTGACAGAGTCTCACTCTGTTGCCCAGGCTCGAGTGCCGTGGCGTCAGCCTAGCTCACAGCAACCTCAACTCCTGGGCTCAAGCGATCCTCCTGCCTCAGCCTCCCAAGTAGCTGGGACTACAGGCAGGCACCACGATGCCTGGCTAATTTTTTCTATATATTTTTAGTGTCCAGCTAATTTCTTTCTATTTTTTGTAGAGACAGGATCTCACTCTTGCTCAGGCTGGTCTCGAACTCAACTCCTGACCTCAAGCGATCCTCCCACCTCGGCCTCCTGGAGTGCTAGGATTACAGACGTGAGCCACAGCACCAGCCTCTTTTTTTTTTTTTTTTAACAAGAGGAAAATTTACAAATTTATTTTAAACATCTATAGACAGGGAACCCTCATAATGAACATTCCCCAACATTTGTTATTATCTTTTTTATTATAGCCATTCTAGATGTGAAATGATATTTTATTGTGGTTGTAATTTGTACTTTCCAGATGGCTGAGTTTATTTCTCTTTATCACAAATAATTCATAATATGTAATTTGGCCTTTATTATTCTGAATGAAATCCAGAGATAATATAACCCACCTATATCCACAACAAAATATCATTTAACTTCACCAACTGTAATACAAGGGATAAATAAATGGAAACTAATTTGTAATAAAGTGATAAGTCCTTCAACATAAGTACAACATAAATACACAATATGGCACCCAGATTTTACTTGAAATGTATTATTGTAAATTCCACAGCTACCATGCAGCCTGACACAGGAGTGAAATATCATGGGCTCAAACACCTTAGGCAGCATTGCTGTAGACAATGCAACTTTTCCGAAATTGTGGTCCAATTGAATGAAGTTGTCAATAAGACAAGCTATAATTACATATTTTGTATATTTTTATATATGTGTGTATAATATGAGCTGTACCTCAGGAAAATTCAGGGTATATTAAAATCCTGTTAGAAATTACAATTTTAGGGCCGCACGTGGTGGCTCACACCTGTAATCCTAGCACTCTGGGAGGCTGAGGTGGGTGGATCACTCAAGGTCAGGAGTTCAAAACCAGCCTGAGCAAGAGTGAAGACCCTGTCTCTACTCAAAATACAAAGAAATTAATTGGCCAACTGAAAATATATAGAAAAATTAGGGCAGGTGTGGTGGTTCACGCCTGTAATCCTAGCACTTTGGGAGGCCGAGGTGGGAGGATTAGTTGAGCTCAGGAGTTCGAGACCAGCCCAAGCAAGAGCGAGACCCCGTCTCTACTATAAATAGAAATAAATTAGCCAAACAACTACAAACAGAAAAAAATTAGCCGGCTGGGGTGTTGTGTGCCTATAGTCCCAACTACTCAGGAGGCTGAGGCAGAAGGATTGCTTGATCCCAGGAGTTTGAGGTTCCTATGAATTAGGCTGACGCCATAGCACTCTAGCCCGGGCAACAGAGTGAGACTCTGTCTCAAAAATGAAAAGAGCCGGGCGCAGTGGCTCACGCCTGTAGTCCTAGCTCTCTGGGAGGCTGAGGTGGGCGGATTGCTCAAGTTCAGGAGTTCGAAACCAGCCTGAGCAAGAGCGAGACCCCGTCTCTACTATAAATGGAAAGAAATTAATTGGTCAACTAAAATATATATATAAAAAATTAGCCGGGCATGGTGGCACATGCCTGTAGTCCCAGCTACTTGGGAGGCTGAGGCAGGAGTATCTCTTGAGCCCAGGAGTTTGAGGTTGCTGTGAGCTAGTCTGGACACCCGGCACTCACTCTAAGCCTGGCAACAAATCGGACTCTGTCTCTTAAAAAAAAAAAAAAGAAAAGAAAAGGAAAACTTAGCCGAGCATGGTGGTGCATGCCTGTAGTCCCAGCTACTCAGGAGGCTGAGGCAGGAGGATCGCTTGAGCCCAGGAGTTTGAGGTGGCTGTGAGCTAGGCTGATGCCATGGCACTGTAGCACAGGCAACACAGTGAGACTCTGTCTCAAAAAAAAAAAAAAATTAAAATTAAAATTTATTTTTTCACTTTTTTCAAGACAGAATCTTGTTCTGTTGCCCCAGCTAGAGTGCAGAGATGTCATCATAGCTCACAGCAACCTCACACTGCTGAGCTCAAGCCATCCTCCTGCCTCAGCCTCCTGAGTAGCCAGCACACACCACAGCTCCTGGCTACTTTTTCTATTTTTGGTAGAGACAGAGTCTCTCTTGCTCAGGCTGTTCTCAAATTCCTGAGCTCAAGCGATTCTCCCACCCCAGCCTCCCAGAGTGTTAGGATTACAGATGTGAGCCACTGCACCCAGCCCAGTTGCAATTATATATAAAAGAGAGTAGACTGCAAGTCCAGTAAATGATAGCATCTACTCCTAGTTATTGTGGAAATAAAATCCCCCTCCTCTGAATAAAACTTCCAGGCATAAGTGTTAGGGTGGAAAGGCTAGTAGGTGCTCACGGAGTGGGTGAAGAATGATTTCTCACACAGAGATTAAGAAATATAAACATAAAAAAAGCTTATTTTATCATCTCATAAGGATAGAGAGAATGAGAGAGTGAAAAACAGGGGTGGGGTGTGGAAGAGAGCAGAGAGACGGCATGGCATCCAGAAGAAAGAGAAGGGAGATGCCAGCTGCGAGCCCAAATGGCTTGATGAATTTAAAGGGAAGAAGAGGCCGGGCCAAGTGGCTCTCCCCTGTAATCCTAGCACTCTGGGAGGCTGAGCGGGCGGATTGCTCGAGGTCAGGAGTTTGAAACCAGCCTGGCAAGAGCAAAGACCCGTCTCTACTATAAATAGAAAGAAATTAATTGGCCAACTAATATATATACGCCGGGCATAGTGGCGCATGCCTGTAGTCCAGCTACTTGGGAGGCTGAGGCAGGAGGATCGCTTGAGCCCAGGAGTTTGAGGTTGCTGTGAGCTAGGCTGACGCCACGGCACTCACTCTAGCCTGGGCAACAAAGCGAGACTCTGTCTCAAAAAAATAAATAAATAAAAGGGAAGAAGAGGAAAAAAAATAGCTATGGCTGTCAGTTGATAACAAAAGCAGCATCAGGTAGATACCAAAAACTGCAAGGATGTCAAAGTCCAAGACATGGTTTCCTGCCTTCCTTGGAGAAGGGATTATCACAGGAGATGTGACTGTCCTGGAGATATGGTTGAGGCTGTAGTTCCTTCTCCTGCTGTTTACGAAGGAACTCTGTAAAAGCAGATTCTCAAAAAAAACAAATTTGAAAGAG